TTAAACAACCTCGACGATATATACAAGTTTTCTCAGTTTTGCATCAAAGCATGGCCCTAAAATGATTTTATACATTATTTATAAAATTTTTCTGTTGTCTATAGTTACATTTTTATACGTATTACTTAGGAGAAAAAGTCAACATAAAGCCATAATGAAATTAAATCTAAAATTTGTTAAGTGTACCGTTTTCATTATTTCTGTTACAATAAAAAAACAGGTTTAGTGCATGTCAAGAACAGCTACATGTTTGATCTACAGATGTGCTAAAGGTCGGAGTTGTGTTTTTAAATGACATGTTTTAAAACTCATATGTTACAGATTATGTAAAAAGAAAAACATATTTTTTGATTTTAACATGAATATTTTGTGAATGAAATACATGCTTATATGTGACAAGTAATAATAAATGTCCTTTTATAAAGAAAATCTGGTGACGTTTCTGCAGCATTTAAAATGTACACTCACTGGCCACTTTATTAGGCACAGCTGTCCAACTGCTTGTTAACGCAAATTTATAATCAGCCAATCACATGGCAGCAACATGGTAGCATGGTCAAGATGCTGCAGTTCAAACCGAGCATCAGAATGGGGAAGAAAGGTGATTTAAGTGACTGAACGTGGCATAATTGTTGGTGCCAGACGGACTGGTCTGAGTATTTCAGAAACTGCTGATCTACTGTGATTTTCATGCACAACTACCTCTAGGGTTTACAGAAAGTGGTCTGAAAAAGAGAAAATATCCAGTGAGCGGCAGTTCAGTGGGCGCAAATGCCTTGTTGATGTTTGAGGAGAATGGCCAGACTGGTTCGAACTAATAGAAAGGCAACAGTAACTTAAATAACCACTCATTACAACCGAGATATGCAGAAGAGCAACTCTGAAAGCACAACACATCCAACCTTGAGGCAGATGGGCTACAGCAGCAGAAGACCACACTGGGTGCCACTCCTGTTAGCTAAGAAAGGAAACAGACTACAATTCGCACAGGCTCACCAAAATCGGACAATAGAAGAGTGGAAAGACATTGCCTGCTCTGATGAGTCTCGATTTCTGCTGCAACCTTCAGATGATAGGGTCAGAATTTGGCATCAACAACATGAAAGCATGGATCCATCCTGCCTTGTATCAATGGTTCAGGCGGGTGGTGGTGGTGGTGTGATGGTATGCAGGATATTTTCTTATTTGGCCTCATTAGTACCAATTGAGCGTTGTGTCAATGCTACAGCCCAAGATTCATCTCAGACTGGTTTCTTGAACATTAAAATGAGTTCACTGTACTCAGATGGCCTCCACAGTCGCCAGAACTCAATCCAATAGAGCACCTTTGGGATGTGGTAAAACAGCAGATTCGCATCATGCATGTGCAGCCGACAAATCTTTTTTTCTTGTTTGTGTTCAATCTACTTTAATTTGTTAAGGAAACTTAATTTGCTTTGGGATAAAATGAAAGAATTAATGGTAAGGAAGCCTATTTTTTAAAGTGTAGAGAACAACAGTAAGGTTAATCAATTGTGCATTTAGATAAGGTCTTTATTTACATGTCTGCATTTTTGGAAAACTTCACTATAGTACGTATTGGATCCTGAAAGGGGTTTAAGTAGTAACAGATGGGTTTTGTGGTTATTAAGGACATCTGTGCTGGAAAAAAAGAAATTGTATCATCGGGTGACCACACATTGACTATGTTAGGAAGAACACTGCCAAAGACAGCAGAAAGTAATTTTCTAGGTAAAACGGTGTTGCTGATTTTGTGTTGTTGAGGAATGTAATGAGAGTGATTTTGTCTTTTTGAAACAGCATTTTTGCTTGTTCGAGAAGGAAAAGAAAGGAGATTTGTCTTTAACACTGGTAACATCCATACAACATTCGCATAATAGCAGCACTCATCCAGGCAACCACATGAAATAAAAACTTTAAAACAAATTAGCCCCATACATATTACTGCCGGTCATTCTTAACAACCGCACCATTCACATTAAACCCTGATCCCATTCAATACAACAACTGCAACTGGGATAAATGAATTTTTATAAGCATTTCTTCAGGAATTCTTCAGCATTTGTGCGTGCTGATGGTAACATTTGAAAAGCTGAGTGAAGGGGATGTGTGTTATCTTTAAAAATCGCACTTGCTGTTTTTAATTTTTTTCTTTTCTTATTTGCCTGATTGAAAATTTGCGAGAATTTCTTTTGTTTAAGCATTGTATTACCAAACCATAAAACAATATTATAAATGAGAATGCTCTCAATAGATGATCTACACTCACCGGCCACTTTATTAGGTACACCTAATCAGCTGTTTGTTATTGTAAATTTGTAATCAGCCAATCACATGGCAGCAACTCAATGCATTTAGGCATTTATAGGCATGGGACGATAACAGTTTTTTAGGGTATACAGTGGTTTGAAAAATACTGTAATACCGTTCCTAAGGTATGTGTAAGATGTTTTTATTTACATTTTTTTGTTTTCATTTTTAGAGAAAAAATATCCAAAGTTCAAATATATCCAAATATCCAAAGATGTTATTTTAAATTGTAAAGAAATCTGTGTTTTTGAAACAAATGAAGATAGCAAAAGTCAATTAATCTTCTGAATTATTTACCCTGGCATGTTTACTGCTCCAAAATATTATAATCCAAAAAATAAAGTATATTATGTTCAAAGGGAAAAAAAAGTTTTTATTTTTTACCCAGACATTTAAAAAGAATATATTTTAGAGCACAATATCGTGATACCGTGAAACTGATATTTTTATCCAAGGTTATCATACCATCAGAATCTCATACCCGCCCATGCCTAGGCATGTAGATATGGTCAAGACGATGTACTACAGTTCAAACTGAGCATTAGAATGGGGAACAAATGTGATTTAAGTGACTTTGAATGTGTCATAGTTGTTGGTGCCAGACGGGCTGGTTTGAGTATTTCAGAAACTGCTGATATACGTACTGGGATTTTCACACACAACCATCTCTGGGGTATACAGAGAATGGTCCAAAAAAAGAGAAAATCTCCAGTGAGCGGAAGTTCTGTGGGCGCAAATGCCTTGTTGATGCCAGAGGTCTGAAGAGAATGGCCAGACTGGTTTGAGCTGATAGAAAGGCAACAGTAACTCAAATAACCACTCAATTCAACCGAGGTATGCAGAAGAGCATCTCTGAACGCACAATCGTGACGAACCTTAAGGCAGATGGGCTACAGCAGCAGAATACCACAACAGGTGTCACTCCTGTCAGCTTAGAACAGAAAACTGAGGCTACAATTTACACAGGCTCACCAAAATTGGACGATAGAAGATTGGAAAACGTTGCCTGGTCTGATGAGTCTCGATTTCTACTGCTAAATTCTGATGGTAGAGTCAGAATTTGGCATCAACAACGGTTCAGGCTGGTGGTGGTGGTGTAATAGTGAGAGGGATATTTTCTTCGGCTCATTAGTATTGAGCATCGTATCAACACCACAGCCTACCTGAGTATTGTTGCTGACCATGTACATCCCTCTTTTTTTACTTTAAAGCATTGTTTGTTCTTTTTCTTTACATTTTATACTTATTAAAAAAGTAATCATAAAGCCATGATGACATTAATGATTAAAAATAAAGACTTATAGTTATTACTAAAACAACAACAATCTGTTTGTTTTTCGAACTAAACGTGTGAGGTTCATATTGTCTTTTATAGTCAAAAGTGTTGAAAACAGTTAATTTTTGAACCTTGCTCAGTAAAAAGGCTTTTAAATTGACTAAATCTAAATCCACTCTTCAGGAGTTAGGGTTAGACCATTGAATTATTACATTATTAAAATAACTTGATAGAAAAGCAATGGATGTCTCTCATTAATCAAGTAGGTGTGTGTTTGTAGACTGGCTTCAAGGGCTGTTCTTTACCCTGAACTCTGTCCAGCTCATTAGCACTGAGGCCATTCAACTCTTATGAATCACAAGTTCAGCATGTTAAACCCACTGTTCTCACACACATTCTGAATTTAACAGTCTTTGTAAACGAGTAAATGTGAGTACATGTATTGTCAGGTATTTGTGAACTTTGATCTGTTTGAGTTTTAACCCTCCCTGTTAGTTCATAGATGTTTAACAAGTCTCAGTTTTTGCTTTGTTGTTATCTATCTATCTATCTATCTATCTATCTATCTATCTATCTATCTATCTATCTATCTATCTATCTATCTATCTTTGGTGGAAGTGGCTGATGTTCTGAGACTAATATTTTGTATAATTTTGTCTCAACCAATTAAAGCACCTCAACCCACATGAAGAAATACTATAGTAATTTATAGTAAATACTAGTGTTTGTGACCCATAATACAGTAAATTGTATTATACTGTATATATAATATTATTTACAACGCTTCGTTAATCAGTGATGTAGTTTTTATAGTAACTATAGTGGACTGATAAACTGTAATAAATACTGTAATATGATTCAGTTTACAGCATACTGGTTTATTGGAGTTCAATATAAATAATAGGTGTAAAAAACTTCAGTTTTGGGTTTATATAACCATTGTTATATTGTGATAGCAACTATAAAATTGCTACAACAGATTCATTCAAGTACTTTACTATAGTATAGCTCAATATTACTACAGTACGCTATTTACAATAAATTGCTGGAGTATTTGTTTCTCCTCCGTAGCACCTGCTTTTTATATGTGTTGTGTGTGATTAGCATTTATTTTTACCTGCTTGTCAAAGACCGAAACTCCTTTCAAGCTTTCGTCTTTGTGAATCCTCAAAGAAAGTAACTGAAGCAAAAGGAACTCTACTCTGATCCTCGTGCGTGTGCGAATGTGACGCTATTGCGCATGCGCAGTGCAGTGAGATGAGAGAGGAGGTTCTCATTGGTCGGAGTCCCATCACTATTAGCCAGTGTATGGGCGGCCCCTTTAACAAGTGCAGGGATTCCTCTGTACACAAAGTCTTCAAAACACAAGTCAGGTTTCTCCTCCATTTATTAGTTTCACGAATGCTGGAACTAACCGGTGCTTACTGTCAGGTTTCAAGGACTATAGTTTACCCTGGACCTCTCAAATAAACCGGGATTATCTCTGAAAATGGAGACGTCCAACTTTACACTATTCGATCCGAGATGCAGAGCAGAGGCTCCGTTCGCTATCGATGCTATTAAGCGTAAGTTTGTCCTTAATATGTTGTATACTGTAGTAAAGACTAAATTATATTACAGTATTTATAACAGTTTATCAGTTAACTACATGTTAAACTACATCATTCATTAATAAAGTGTTGTTGTTATTATTTTAATTTTGTTTGACAACACTTCTGGAAGGTTTTTACACTAAAACTGTAGTGAACACTGTATAAAGAGCCCTTTATTAAACTTCAGTTGCAGCAGCAGCAACTGTCATAGCTTTGTAAGTTTGTAATTTCCATTATTTTCCATCTGAATATTATAAATAATAGTCAGCAGTCTTAAAATTGGTCATATTTTGTTCTTGAGTATTACATTTATGTATATAAAAAACAATAACCCAACTCCAAAAACAATGACATATATTATGTTCCAGCAATGTATAATAATGCATATAGATTGTAATATAGTTATAATATACTCTAGGATAATATTAAACTAGGACAGTTTTAAAATTTGACAGGGAGACCTGTCATTTTTTTCTTCCAAAATATATTTATTGGGTTTTGTTTGAACTACAGAACAAAATACATAAAAAAGACAAATGGTCAAAAATGTGAAAATTAATATATAAGTGAATTACAAAAATATTAGCATTGCATAATTAAAAAAAAAAATAACAATGTTTAATACATGTTTGTACCTTGCATTTCACAGCTTTCCAGTGTGCAATGGTTAAACAAATTTGTTAATTGTTGCTGAAATGTAAGACATCTGAACAATACAATAAGACACCACCATGAAAAAATGTTGCATTGTCCACCTGGTTAAAAAAGTGTTGAGAGGGGGTCCATATTTCATAAAAATCTTGTAGTTTTCCTTTGACAGTGTTTCTCCAGAGCAAGATTGCTAGTCCTTTCTTCAATCCACTGGCTACAGGATGGCCTTTGAGGTTTTTTTTTCAATTTAAAGTAATAACACGCTTCACTTTGAGTAAACTAAAATCTAATAGTTTGAGTTTGTTTGTGTTTAGATCCAGGTTTACAGGGTATATATGAAATAAACATAATTTGGGAACTATTTTCTTCAATTAATTTACCAATCATCATAAGGATCTATTTTCAAAATCTTTTGACCTCATTGCACTCCTATACACAATGATAAAGGGTACCCAGGCACACCATTAATTATTTTGATAAAAGCATTGACAAACGGATGGCATGCAGTGTTTATATATAGTAATAAAAAATCCTAAAGGTATAAAAACATTCCCCTGAAAACTGCAGATGATATCTCGCACTGCTTCCCACTCGCTGTTGATAAGAAGTGAATATCCTGTGGTTCATCGCACCTGAACTTGAGTGCGCACACATGGCATGATGATAATGTTCAATGGCACTAATGTGGATCCTTTCCAGGCGCCACCCTGAGCTGTAGTAGACTAAATGTGTGTCAGATCCACATTCTTATTTTAATAGGTTTCATCTGTAGTCAGATTCACTATAAAATGAGAGTAAACGGCAGTTATTGCTAACGGAAGGTTTGTTTTGTCCCCAGAACTGTACGTTCACATCTACTGTTTCAGTTGTGCAATTCATGTAAATGTGTTCTTGTTTTAATGACTGATGAAAAAGTACTTGCACTGTAATTGGTGAATGCTTGGTTTAAATGGTCAGTTGAGCAATGCAAGTGAGAAATACAAAACAGCAGACACCTGGTTTGTGTAAAAACCACACACCAGCATGGAAAGCATCATTAAACTGAGATCATATGGATTCTGAGCACACTGTGTGTTGGGTTTGCGTAACGTTTTTTGTATGTTTGCCTAGAATTTTCCAGTGTATGCTTCATCAATGGAAAACACATGGATTGTTAGGAAGTGATTTATAAGATTTCAAAAGCCAATTATTGTTTTTAAAAAATTTGAAAAGTGATCAAATGACCTTTTCTATTCCAAGACTTATACGTAAAAATGTGGATGTTTTTTCCTCTGTATATCTTCCTTTGTGTTCATCAGATAAAAGAAGCTCAAACCGGTTTTAAACAAGTAAAAACTGAGTAGTTTAAATTAAATAGAATTTTGGGTGAATGATCTCTTTCAAGGTCCAGTGAAATTAAAATAACCGTTTTTTAGATGTTAGTATCAGTGTGAGATCTGTTCGCTAGTGTGCTAAAAAACAATAACAAAATTTACATTTAGAAGTTATAAAACTGATATAAAAATCTAAAGCTTGTAGTTTGTCATTTTCATCTAAATGTAAAAAAAAAACAACAACAAAAAAAAAAAAAAACGTTGATTCATCAAATCTTCCAACCAATCAAATGCTTTCTCTAGCATCTGATATGCCCCGCCCCCTTCAAGACGCTTTTCATTTCAAGTAGGTATAGCTGCAATCTCCAAGTGGGAGGTATTGCACTGCAAGTAGGTTGAAAGTGGGAGGGATTTATGCCACAGGTGGGCTGGGTTTAGGTGGTGTAGGTGAATTCGACATTAATAAAATACATCAGGTTAATGTAAGGATAGGTTTAGGGTTGGGGTAGGTATAGACATTCATAAAGCACAATATTGTACTATGTGTCACATACAAGACATAAAAAATAATAAGTTTTTTACAGCCCACCTGGAGCTCAAGTCCCACCCACTTGGAGATGGCTCCGACCTCTGTTTATACCCTTCTTTTTCATTTGCTTTTCTTTTGATACGCTTGAACTCAACCACTCTCACTGGAAGAGCTGTGATAAAAACAAAATGCTATTGCCGGTTTTTTGAAAAAGAGGAGGAGCTACTCTTTGGAAAGGGTACCTAAAGAGGTGGAATGGTACAGTTAGCTTTTTATCCCTTTTGACAGTGAAAGTGGACATAAAAATATACTATAACGAACTCTACTGTAAATGTCAGTGGAAATGGGCCATAAGTCCTGCCCTCTCTTTGTGTTTAAGTTGAGATAACATCATATGTCCAATAAAAAAAATGCACATTTCAAAGCACTTCACAAGATCAGTTATCAAAGTATATTAAATATAAGTGTTCTTCATAAGTAAATTTTTATAACAGACATGGCATTAAGATAAAGCTAAACTAGTGTAGTATGACAATGTTAGCTGTTAGAGTTTAGCTGTATCCACCCTAAATCATCCCTATATGTCTAATTTGAGCCTGCTTCTGGCTAAAAGTTACAATATCACAATTGTCCCCCAAAAAAGTTGGAAAAACAAACAAGAAATGTCATGCGCAAATGATCAATACTGTTTCTGATGGTTGTTTTTCAGAGCTGGATATCTTTGGCAAAGTCCTCTACACTGTGCTGACTTTAATGGCCACAGCATCCATGCTGGTATTCATTGAAGAATGCATCTACATCTATAAAAAAGTGCCGGCACATAAAAAAAGCACCATTATCTGGGTAACCGGAGTAGCACCAGTGAGTTTTGTAAAGTTTTACTCCTAATCACTCCTAATTTGAATTGACATGTCAGGTTTGAGCTTTATCTGCGTCCCACCCAAGCGGAAACACAAACTCAATATACAGTTAGTCATTTCTAGTGTGTTACCGCCTGAGTGATTATGAGTCTCAAGTTCATTTTCACTTCACAAGTTTATCTATTTTTCAGGTCATGGCTATTATGTCTTGTTTGGGCATGTGGGTTCCAAGGGCCACAATGTTCACTGATATGACATCAGCCACGTGAGTTCAACATTAACACTCTGTGTTTTTCCCACTGTGAAATGCACAAGAAAGCAGACCTTAGATTATTTAACTGTATTTCAGTGGTGGTACATTTTCAATGGTGTTTCCATACTACATAGATAACTTTTAGTCCCAGATATTTTGTTTTATACAGGCTAGGGATGTATAATACTATGAAAATATGCATTTATCTTCTAGCAATTGTTTTTTAACTCATTTATTTATAAAATGATCGTGTAATATATATTTTATTGATCTAATTAAATCTAATTATGGCTTAAAATACTACCATTAATAACATTTAGATTTTAAAAATGCAGATATTTGAAATATTTTGTCCATATAACATGTGTCTTGTATCACCTGCTATTATTTACCATTGTTTTGATACCTTTATATTGTATGTGTATGTACATGCATGTATTTATTTAATGATATACTTGTCATTTTTATTAATATTATATTTGTAATCATTTTTTATGCTTTGTTTTGTATGTTTTGTTTGTAAAAGTTTCAAAAAAATAATAAAGACACAATTTACAGAGACATAAAGACATTAATAGTGTTTAAAAAAATTCAGATATTTTAAGTTCATTTATAAATTAATTTCAAGAGGATCATGTGCTTAAGATTGCTTGCAGCTGGCCCCGCATTATTCAATTTATGAATCACCAATCAGACGATTCCTAAGCCACTATAAATACCCTTACTTCTATAAAACAGCCATCTTCGTTTTGAAGAACCCCCCCTTTCACCCCTACTCCTCCTCCTTTCCTAGATGGGTAGGACAGTGGCTCAGTGGTTAGCTCTTATTAAGCCAGCCAACGTTTCTGTGCGGAGTTCACACGTTCTCCCCATGCTCACATGCTTTTCTTCCGGGTTCCCCAGTTTCCTCCCATCGCCCTAAAACCTGCAACTTAAGTTAATTGACAAATCCAAATCAGCACCATAGACATGCTCCTAGTAAGTAGTTATCTCTTAAGAGCAATCGCTATCTGTTCATTAGCTACTACAGCAGGGGAATTCTCGAGATCTACCTGAGCTCAAACTCCCCTCTCGCCTTGCAAACAGGAGGGAGCCCCATGCTCGAGGATCTTTTGAGCTCAGGACTCTCAGGACAGCATGCCAAACAACTTTTATGATCAATCATCAGCCACGTGTGAACTCTTGAATCATTATTAGTTATAGCATTTAGTATATTTGTATTTATTTTCTGCTCTCTATTCTAGCCAATAGCATAACTGCATCAACTTGTAAAGCCTCAATACTACACTTTCAAATGATTTTATAACAGTGTCATTAATTTTGGTGAGTTATAATAATAAAAGGAGAGCATAATGATAGCAAGGCCACATCTGATTGGTCAAATTTGAATAAACAACCTGTGCAAGCATCACATAAAATACATGTATTTTGTCTCACCTCTGTGCAATACAGATATTTCATACTATTATCATTGTAATGATAACTACTTTGAAATATCGTGCAGCCATAGCAAATAGCGTTTAATTGGATAAAAGAATTTGGGAGCATGCGAGGCACTAATGAACATATTTCTGACTCTTTTGCCAGATACTTTGCAATTGTGGTCTTCAAGTTCCTGATTCTCATGATTGAAGAGGTGGGAGGGGACAATGCTTTTCTCAGACGCTGTGAGAAACAGACGTTTAAGATCAGCACAGGACCTTGCTGCTGCTGCTGCCCATGTCTGCCAAATGTCCCCATCACACGGTAAATCAATCTTCAAGTGTGCTTCTCATGATGCCATAATGCAAAAATCTATGCACAGCCCTTAGTTGGTGGTGGATGTTGCTAGGGTGTTACTTGCTAGGACATTTTAAAGGATGTTTAGTTTATTTGCATGGGTGCATATACCCAATATAATCAGAATACTACCCTCCAATGGGGCTAGCTTGATTAAAAATTAGATATATTTTGATTGACTTCCAACAACCTTGTTTATTTGAATATCCAGGGTTATCAACAGTCTTAGCAAACCAACTTTCAGGCATTATTAAGTCTTATAATATTTTCAGGAAGAAATTGGGAAATAAAAAAAAGATTTGTATTAGGAATTTGATTTGCGTTTATTTATTTATTTAATCATGTTTATGAGTATATCGTTGTTATTATTTTTATTTTTTTAGATTTACTTTAGTAGTTTTTAGAATATGACTTTACCCCTGAACACTAAACCACTTTAGCATATTACCAATAAAAACATGACAAGCTTTCTTTACAGCTATTTACATTTTTTTAAAGTTATTTAAAAATATATAAATAGTTTCTGGTTTTAATTAACGATAAAAACTTTGGAAAATACTAAGTAATTCAGGACTATATTATACTCCAGGACTATTATCACCAATAATTCTTGATAGCCTGTATAGATTAAAGGAATCACTAAATTGCACCTCTCTATTACTAATAGACATTCTGATCTGGGCCACCTGTTTAAAGGTTTGCTATTAGTTACCCAAATCTCCAACTGGATGTCTACTAGATGAATGCACCTCTGGGCATTCAACTCTTCTTCAAACATGAGCTCTTTATCAGGCTTAGTGTGTAACCTAAAATGAGCTTCTCGGGGCCATTGCACTCGTAGCTATCTGAAAGAAGTTTGCGGCTCCTGGAACCAGTGGTTTATATCAGTGTTATGTAAGACTTTCATTATCAAATTCAGTGTACATAGTTAAATGCAATTTAAGCATACTTTATGTGTGACACCTGTGGGTGGGATCATTTGACCTGGAATGTTTAATCTGAGAAAAAAACTGATGTGTGTTGATTTTCAGACGATCTCTGTTCATATTGAAACTGGGCTCCTACCAGTTTGCACTGATGAAATTGGTCCTCACCATCTTTTCTATTGTCCTCTGGACAAATGGCAGCTTTAGTTTAGCCAATGTAAGTATAGATTTGTGCAATTGTATAAATAAATACATACATTTTATTTATAAATTTCAATGTCTTCTTCACCCTTAAACTATAATTATCATGATTAATTATTGACCAATGCCATTCTGAACTTATCTTTCTGATTTTAAATGGAATCTGAGAGGTTTTTGTTCTTCCATTAAATGCATGATCACTAAAAAAATCAAAATGTTCATTAATGGGTCGAATTAATCCATATGAATTAAGCTTTTTTATCTAAGTCCTCTGAAGAGACTTTATTTAAAATGCTCTTCATACATCAACACTGATCAGCAAGAGCTACAGAAACTCATACTTGCTTAACACATGAGAGCAAACCTCATTGGTTTCTATAGAAGCTCAAATGTGCCGTGTGACAATCAACTTAATTGGTGCAAATGTGTTAAACAAGTACGTTTGAGCTTCTGTGACAAAGTCTAAGGGCTTTATTTTAACTATCTAGGTGTAAAGTCTAATGTGCATGGCGCAAAAGCATTAAGCGGGTATCCGAATGCACTTTTTCTATTTTAAGGATTGAAAAATACGCTTTGTGCCTTGGCATAAGGCCTAACAGGATTCTACTTAGTCTCTTAATGAGTTATGGATGGGGCCAGACAGAATCTGCTGACATTTTTGCTAATTCAGCAGAAAATTTCGTTAAAAAAAATCTGTGGATTTATGCGGAATGGTTTTGGGAGTATGATAACTAAAACCTTAATATATGAAATAAAAATAATACATTTGTAACTTTTATTTAATGTTTACAAAGCAAATCCAATTAAATCCACTTATTTAGTAAACAAAGCAAACTCTCATATAATAGATCTGCTAAAAGACAGAAAATATTACTTTACGAACTGTATTGTAAATAAATCAAATGAACATTTTCATATTATTATTATTATATCACAATAATAATAGTGAAATTAATTTAAAAACTGATTAAATATAAATGTACAGACATTTACCCAAGTAAAAACTTAGACTGAATCATGGGCTAAAAATCTGTGGAAATCTGCAAATTTCTGTATGCGCAGATTTCGTGTGGGCCTACTAATGGGTGTTTTTTGAGCATAAGATACATTAAACCAATCAGAGTCTCATCTCCCATTCCCTTTAAGAGTCAGTTGCGTCGCACTGTGGCGCATTTGCTATTTACATGCAGACTTGGGTAAAAACTAAGTGGAAAAAGTGAATGCTTCACTAGTGAGAAAACAGTTAAACAGACTTTCTGCAGCACGGAAAATGAACAAGCCTCCTTCATTCAGCCTCTTTAACTCTTTACTTTGCTTCTTTACTTTAGTGGATAAGGAAACGATGATGCACGCACTTAATTGTAATCATCCATTAGCCAACATATTTAATTTCGTTTGTTAAGTGCAAAGATTTGTTTCAAAACTATTTTTAAATTCAGTTTTAATTTCCATCAAACGAATAAATGAACAATAATAACGAAGTGTGGTCTGAGTTGTATCCAAACACACTTGCTATTCTTATGCCCCTTATGGTGATGCATACATCTCCAAACCAGACAGGTGGACAAATCGAAACTTGTATTTATTAAAACAAATATAAATATGCATATAATAAATATTACTGCTGATAATAATAACATTAAACAAATGCAAATTGTCATAAATAAACTTGAAAAAAGCCCCTCGACATGAACAACATTTGGTGCCATCACCCAGATAGAGATTGAAATCATCAAATTCTCAACAATTTGCCATTGAAGACTAAAATCCATCAGAATTCAATTTGAAACTTCAAGATCAATGAAACTTCACTCCAGATGGAATCTTTTCAGCTTAACGGCAATTTGAAGTCACTCAGCGGAGGTCACAAATTCTCAACTATTTTCTGACTGCAATTCTGGTGTACACTGAATCTACCTTAATATAAAGATCAGACTTCAATCCAGAATAAATATTTTCAGCTCAACCTCGATTTGAGATTGAAATAATCAAATCATCAACAATTTGCCACAGAAGACTGAAATCCACTGGAATTCAAATTGAAACTTCAAGATCAGTGAAACTTCACTTCAGACAGAATCTTTTCGGCTCAACGACAATTTGAAGTCACTCAGCGGATGTCACAAAATATCAACTATTTGCTGACTGCAACCCTGATGGACGTTGAAACTTCCTGAATTCAAAGATCATACTTCAATCCAGACTGAATCTTTTCAGCTCAACCTCGATTTGGTGAGTTCACGTTATTAAAAGAACTATACAGACCAGGTTATCCTCTGCTCCGTCAGAGTAGAGTTAACAAACAGCTGCATGGTTTGTTTAACAGAAAAAGTTATCCTTAATTTCAATAGAGAAGGAAAGTTTATCGCTTGTTTAGTCAAGAAAGTTAAGCCTTACTTCTGTTTATGGTTTCTTTTATTTCAAGAGTTTACACTTAGCTGATGATTGATTATAAGCTAATTTGGCATGCTGTCCCGGGATAGAGCCCTGGGCTCATAAGATCCTCGAGCCCTGGGCTCCCTCCCATTGCAAGGCGAGAGGGGAGTTTGAGCTCAGGTAGATCTCGAGACCTCCCCTGTCATGGTGGCTGAAGAGCAGATAGTAGTTGCTTTTTAAAGAGATAAGTACTAGGTAGGAGCAAGTCTATGGTGTTGATTTTGATTAGTCAATAAACTTAGGTTGCATGTTTTTGATCGGTGGGGGGAAATCGGGAAACCCGGGGGAAACTCACATGAGCACGGAGAGAACGTGCAAACTGCACAGAAATGTCTGCTGGTTTGGTAAAGCCTGAAACCAGAGACGTTCTTGCTGTGAGGCAATAGTGCTAAGCACTGGGCCACCGTGTCACCTATCTAGGAAGGAGGAGAAGTAGGGGTGGAAGGGGGGATTCTTCAAAACGAAGATATCGGTGATACGTAACCCATGGTATTTGCAGTAGCTTAGGAATTGTCTGATTGGTGCATTGTGAATTGGATAATGCGAGTCCAGCGCTAGCAATCATAAGCACGTGATCCTCTCAAAATTAGTTTATAAATAAACTTCACTTATTTACACTCTGTTCAGCCAGAGAAGTTTAGCAATACAAGCTATTTTTTGTTATCCCTTGTTCAATCTTGAGTTTTAGCTACATGTGCTTATATTGTTACCCTCTGTTTTGGCAGAGAAGAAGTTACTATACTTTGAACAGAAACGTTTTAGTATTTTTATTTGTACTCACAAAATATTCTGAAAGAATACGAGACTAAACCCTACAGCTGGAAAAGGGTAGTTTAGCGACTCCTTTATTGTCAGATCAGGATTTCAAATTGCTGCTAGGACAGCACATGGACTCAGCCAGACTAAATTAGACAGAAATTTAGCATTCACCCCGATAATGTTTGGACATTATAGATGAATGCAAGAAAGTGCTTGATGCATCCATTCTCAAAAATAATGTGAAAGGCATTATCTGCTGCAACAGAGAATTTAATTTATCTCTGGCTGAGAGACAACAAGCTCAGGCTAAATCAGAATTAGAAAATCAGATCCAAGACCTCCGTGCTAAGATAACCTCATTAACAACACAACTGAACCTCAAGAAATCAAAAACTGACATTGAAGAAGTTAGTCAGCCTGATAATAAACATCCTGACTTACAAACTGTCTTTGAAACCGACATTTCCATCCAGTCGGTTAATAATATGCAGGCCCAGATTAACCAATAGGCCTCATTGGAGCGGCAAACAGCAGCGTGAGTGGCGTAGCTCATAAAGCGCATTGCAACATGTTTTAACACAATCGATCATGAACCCGGTTCGAATCCAGGGTCTGGTGAACTCATTCTTTCTTTTTCCCCCACTACTTATCAGATTTTACTTTCATCACAAGCAAGACAAGTAAGAATCATTAAGTGTGTGTATTATGGAAGACTCAGATTTATGAAACTGAACTGGATTGGAGAGGTGTTATATCCAAATCATATACATTATATGTTTGTAGATGTTATGCATTAAAAAATAGCCTTAACTATAAATTTTAGTACCGTTTCAGTGAACTTTAACAAGTATATTAAAATCCATTAATTTTCACTAGTTTCACTAGTATTAGTATATATTTTTCAAAGTATGCTATAAAATTTAAATCCTTTAAAAATAAGTTAAATCTTTGTAGAGTAGAAATATGTGTACTGTATTTCTTTTATATTAAAATGTGGGCAATACATTATAGAATAATTTTATTAAAAAATACTATATTAATCTTATTTTTTAATTCAACTATTGGGGTGCAGCAAAGTAGGGGGGCTTCAAGACATTGTGCCCAGGGGCCCCTGAATTCTTAATCCCCACCTGGTGACATGCCTGTAGGTTCAGTGAAGGTTTGTGGTGCTAGGAGAAGATCTCAGGGAATTGAGAAAATTGAAAATTTACACTACAACACTTCTGTTGTTCAAATTCAAACAGAACACTTGAACGTAAAGAAATAGACAGTCTCAAAGCTTACCTTTAGCATGTACAAATTCAGAGTTTAGCAGAGCACTGATCAGCAAAATGTGTCTTTATGACACGTCATTAACAGAAGTCACCCAGCTGATGTCTCAAATTCTAACAAAATCTCAATTCAACACCTTTGAGTCAGCTGTGACTCAAAACATGCCAGTGAGGATGATTTGAGAGAGGGTGTTTTTAAAATTCTGAAGAACATTATTGACCCAAAGATTGACAGGTCAAAATTTACTTGTTTTGTGCAAAGGAAAGATAAATCTGTGAGTGAATTCACTGAGAGATTTTGTCGGCCATCAGTGGATTGGCTGATAATTCTGACAGTGTGATAAGGGACCGCTAAATGATAAGGGACCACTAGTCCGCATCTGGTCAGATGTTCTTGCACTTGAATACAGAAAAACACAGCCATTTGTTAATATACCTTGTCTACCACCACTCTCAGAAATAATCTAGACAGTTTCATTTTGTGGGACAGGGACTCTGATATCATAAATGGAGTCAGGATTGAAGCAGCCGCCACTAAGGTCAACACAGGAAAGACATCAAATCATAAATGTCTTAAGAAAAATATATTTTGCCATTACTGTGGTAAAAAAAGGACACCGTATGAGGGAGTGTAGGAAAAACAAGAAGACCTTTAAAGTGACGAACAGGGTAAATCAGCTTCAGAACAGTTTGCTAACTGCCTTCAAGCTAGATCCATTGAGTTGTTTACTGAGGTGCTATCTAATTTTTGGCTGTGAGTACTTAATGTCCCAGTTAATTTACAATTAAGATGAATGACTCTTTGTACAATGACACAAAGGAAACTTTTTTCTTTTTATTAGGGAACCCTGCTTAAGTCCACTCACTGCCTTGAATTGCATATTCCAATCAAAACCCATTCAATTCAGTTCATTAAATAATAGTTGTGTCTCACATTTCAAAGTTTGCCTACTTTAGCCGGGGACTGAACAGGACACACAAACCAGTGAGGATCCCAGGGCAGAACTGAATGCAATAGGCTTCACCTTGTGGTGAAGACTCCCTATTTTCCCCATCTATTAGACCATCTTTACCTCACTGTTTTATAGGTGTCTTAACTTTAAGATTAGAAGACAGAAAAAACAACACTATTCGATCACCAACTTAACACAACCACTATACGATCACCTGAATAACTAGACATATGAACTGTACTGTTTGATCATACAAGTCTATGCATGAATACTGCTCGTCTGCTGTTTCTTTGTTTTCTTTTGAGCAGGTGAACACATACCACTGCTTTTTCACAAGAAACACTCTGTTCCAGAGCATCACCTCAGAGATTTATGAATGACAGGAAGTCATCAGATCAACTCTGTGCTGGAGAAGAACCACCAAGAAACTGCAAGCTATTCACAAGCCACAGACTTTCAGAAGATCTACAATTTGAATATTTGATTTTTTTTGTGTCATCATGTAGAATTTATGACATTACCATTGATTGTTGTAAACGTGTGAACAGTTGTGAAATCTACACTTACATCTGTGTAGATACTGAAAATGACACAGAATAAGGTAAATGTTCCTGTAACTTTTTCAAGTTACATGACTGGAAGATAGGGCCTATGTTATCAAACCGAAGCCAATGATTTTTAGGAATGCTTTAAATGTATATTTTTGACAGTTTTTTAATAACTCTCAAAGGGGGAGCTGTGGAAATATAAATTTATATAATCTAGTTTCAAATTGCCTATTTATGACTGAAATGTTATATTTTTTGGTTTTTAATTAGCTAATTTCATTCAAAACTCTAGCTAGGGTGTGACATCAAACCTTTTGCTTCCTGAGCACAGGCTGAGCTAAAGTGATGCAAATGCTATGGGCATGGTCTTAATGACAGTGTGTTTGTCTTCGGGTGATACTTTAAGGCCACAGAAACCCGTTTGTTGATAAACTCAATGAGGTCAGAGCTGGGGAAATGTTGTTAACCTTGCTGACCCCAATATTTCATTTGATCACTGTATGCTACTGTTTATGTTGATAAGATAAGGGCTGGCAAAATGCTGTTTGTCTTGCCTCTTCCTATAACATATTACAGACTAACGTTAGACTTTTTAGATTTGTAAGAAACTCCTGTAATGACTGCAGAACAACCAACATGTCTCAATAAAGAAATTTTTCTGCTTATTCGAGTCTCCTGGACTGGGTTCTCATTTATAATTTTTTTTACAACAGTGCGAGCAATGCGCCTTAACACACCTTCTTTTTAGACTGCAACACCCATGAGTCCACAAAGTGGCACAAATGGATTCGATATTTAAATAACGTGGTGCAAAACGTGAACATTAGGGTTGCGCTGGTCTGAAAATAGCAACAAATCGCACCAAATACTTATTGCAATGGGTGTAGGATAGGGCACTAAATGCTGTACATGTTATTGATTGGTCAGTGTTTACTCAATGGAGCAGCGAAAACTAAAAAATCTAAATCAGATTGTGTAATAAAGTGATCATGTGTCTAAGGAGAACCTGAATTAAACCACTCAGTTGCTTTAGGAAGATTATAAATGTCAGAGTTTTGGGTGAAAATAATAATCAAAATAATCAAAAATGTATTTTTGAGATTTGATTAAAAGTATCTGCATTTCTGTTCCAAATTTTGACTAATTGGCAGTGTTGGGTAATGTTACTTTTTAAAATATTAAAATTTTAAGCCAATTTTTAACCATTTTATCTTAATCTCATAAAACAAGCAAACAAACAAACAGACAAAAAGCTAAATAACATAACATACTTGCACATTACATTTCTAAAAGGTAACTATTAAGTAACATTTAGTTACTTTAAAGGGTTTCTATGATGAAACTAATCTTTTGAAAGCTGTTTGGACAGAACTGTTAGTAGATATAGTGTGTTCACAGTCATATTGAAGTGATAGAAACACAATAAGTCTCCTTTTTAATTTCATGACGTTAAAATATTATCCAAATACCTCCCATTTTGAGGCTGACCATAATGTGACGTTGGAGTGGTTTCCCCGCCACCGAATTGATTGACAGCTGCGTTAACATGTCTCAGTAGTAACGCGTATAATAATTTCAACAAGACAGGACGGGATTAAAAGATCAGCTCTCTGTGATCATTAATCATCATCAAATGTGATCAAGAATGAGTTTTACAAGATTAAAAAGTTTTAAAAACAGTTTTGTAATTAATCACAGCAATTTTACCATCTTTATCACCACAGCCACATGTCACTTCAATTATAAAAGAAGATGCTTCAATCCTGGTTTGCGGACGTTAAATCAGGTTTATTTTGTACATTAACATAACAGATATCCATACAGCAGTGGATATTAAAATTTATCCTCTCACATTTGCATGCAAAAACAGTGCAATGTTAAACATGCACGCTGTGTGTGTCGAAAGGCTTGAATTAACCCCACAACAAATACATCAAATAATCATTGGAAAAGTTCTCACAGTAGTATTTCTCACTATCGTTACATGAGATCTGCTTCCTTCATGTCTGTCACTGTGCTGTTTATCTGACGTAGCCGAGGCGGAAATTGAGGCACACTCTGACAGGCACGTGGTAACGGTGGGCGGGGAGAATTACCATTGAAGGCACAGGCCACAAAAACCTCTACATTTTGTCTAGAGCAGAAAATTTTAACATTTTAAAAAGTATAATAAATAATCTGATGGGTGTTTTAAGCTGAAACTTCACAGACAATATTATGGAGACACAAAAGACTTAAATCTTGAAAAGGGGGTAAAATAGGTGGCTTAAGATCGCTATATAATACTTTACCCAACACTGCTTATGGATGTGTTTTAATGATTAATGATGACACAATTTAGATTCTAGGATGAATTAACACTTTGAGACAGATTTGCTAAATGTGCTTTTCTGTGGGTTCTAGGTTTCGGCAAGTGGAGCGGCCATATGGATAAACTCATTTATTGGCGTTCTCACCATTATCGCCCTTTGGCCTGTTGCGATCATGTTCATGCATGTGCGAGAGGCATTGCGCACTTTAAAAATAGTCCCTAAATATGCCATGTATCAGGTTTGTCTGTTTAACTCTACTATTTTAAAACATCCACAGTTTTCAGTATTGCCAGAATGATTATTACCCATGATTCAATAATTATATCTGTCCATAGTTGGTGCTGATCCTGAGCCAGCTGCAAACAGCCATTATTAACATACTGGCATTGAATGGGACCATTGCCTGTTCGCCACCCTACAGCTCCCAGGCCCGTGGATACAGTGAGTGACATCATTTTTTAGAACATAACATAACAGTCCTGTTGACCTGTTCATCATAAAATGAAAATTTGATGTTGATTTACTCAGGGCATGCAAGATTTTTAGCTGAAATTGCAGTCATTGGTGGTAAATGTCAATTTAGGATAAAACAAAACATTAACAGAAAAAGCTAAATGAATACCCATGGCATGTTATGATACTCTGAGCTCTAATGAATGGAAATGATCCGTCTTCAGAGCTGAAATTCAGTGCTGTCCTTAGCAATGACAAGACATTGCAATGTTTTTTTAGAAATAGAAACAGTGGTGCGTTGACCACCCTGTTCCAACGGCCCACGAGTTTCAATTATGGCAGCTGAGAAGGTCAATATTTTTGTTCTTCTTGAAATCAAATAATAGTTGGTATAACTGTGTTTAATACAGAAAAAATAAGCTTGATGTTACAGTCACTTCCCTTGCCGTCCAGAATAAAAGTAAACAGAATTTACTGGGAATACAGAATTTCTTTAATACCCTGTGTTTAATGTACATGTTGCTGCTGAATGAACTAACATTTATTACACACGCACCAAACAAGAGTTAACTAATCTCAAACCATGTTGCACACCATTGTGCAACTTTCCAGGGAACATGGTGTTCAACCCCTAAACCATAGCAAAACAGATCTGGCAATGGCTGTCCCTGAGCTGTTTCTCAATATGTGTTCTTTAGCATCCTTGTGTTCTCATGTAATGTCATCATAACCGCCAAAGATTAGTTCCAAAACTTAAGACTGCAAGATCAGAGGACACCTGAAAATTCCCAGGTGCATTCTTGATATCGAGGATCCACCGATGCAGAAGTCCCAGAAGTCATTGTGCTGATTCTGAATAAAAGCGATGGGAAGAGCAGCATTTTATACCTGTTTATTATTAAAGTTCAGGGATGTAACTTGATTATCTCTGGAGATTCCCTAAACGAGATGGTGAAAGTAAATATTAACATGGAAATCTTAATAATGGCATAAACACCTTAAGGGTGTTTATTTGCTGAAATTCGTATTAATATCTGTTTTGTATATTTGTAAGACTTTTGTGCATTTTATATGTATTAAAAAAAGGGAAAAACAATAGATCGTTGTATGCATGCTGTAACGTTTAAATAATTTTCTGTTTAAAACGTGTAAAGGTCACGTGACCATCTGGAAGAACGCAGCATCTCATTTCTCACAGGACGTGTTCTCTGTTCTCGTGGTCTCCTGAGTTCGCTCTTTTGAGGTAATCTGGCAAGAATGGTTTTCACAAGATAGCAAGTATGTTCATTGCGTTCTTGGAATAGAGAAACAGCCATGCACTGTAATTGGTTGAACAATAACAATTACATTGAACCATCTGACCAATCAGAGCAGAGCAGTCTCTCAGGAAGGTGGAGTTTAGGACTGGAACATATTATTGCACCTTTCATGCATACAGACCTTTCCGGAAAATTACCGGCAATTATGTTTCTGATCTGTATGTTTGAGCATTCCCTTTTTTAATACCCTGGTAAATTCGTTCTGGCAATTTTCCGGAAAGAGATGTTGTTACTTTACCGGTAATTTCCCAGAATGCTGCTCTGTGTGAACGCAGAAGGAAGACTGCCGGAAAGAGCGTGTTCACACTTACAACACACTGATGTGAAACGTGTACTCCAGACAATCAGAACACTCACACACATTCACATCTGCGCTGTTTATGAAAATAAAAGACTTTGAATATTTTTCCAGACACATTTAGCTGCTAGTTGTTATGCAGATAACATTTCTATGTTCTTTCTTAATGCCAACTGTGTAAAAAATTATCTATAAAATGCTTCTGATAAGCCGTTGTTTGTTTACCTTCAAGCGCTTCTTCAGTTGCTTGACGTGTGTGCATGTGAAGCAGCCGGTGAGCGCCAGCACACACACATATTATGTACATCTCGACATGCGAAAGTTTCCCTCCTTATGTTTTTTTCGAAGTTGTTCACAATACTCCTTCTACAGGCTTTTTAATGTAGTCAAGTGTTTACAAATACAAGCTCTGCCATTTAGAGCTCATTTCTGGTTAATGATGGTAGAATTTACCGGTATTTAGATATGGATGTGTGAATGGTCTTTTCTGGAAAAATTCTGTAACATCTCTGCTTGTGTGAACAGCGCTTTTTTGAACTTACCGATAAAGTTGTTCTGCAAATTTTCCGGATATTTACCAATATCACCTTTTGGGATCCTTGTATGGATGATAGACGACTGAAACAAGTAAATACAATCTCTACCTGAGTGAGAGGAAGGACTTTTCCATACCCCATATTAATGTCTATTTGTCATTCCACAAAGAACGAACTAGTGCTGCACACATACAAACCGTAAACAAAGCAGCATTTACATATGATTTTCACAGTACGTCCCGCTACCTCATATTAGCTATCCCTCTCCCCACACACCAATAAACAACATTATCTCCCCCCCTTCACTTTCGTCTGCGAAAGGGTGGCATGAACACCATGAGCACAACCGTTGTTTGCCTAGAGCGCCAGTTACGCTTGTGCCGGTATTGACATGCACACTATAAAAGCTATTGGTGCAAGCTGTAATTTAATTAAATTTGATTGCGCAAATGTTCCGTTACCTCTGCCTCCTCGGGTAACATGCCAAATCCGTTACCACAATTGATATCATTTGCAAACATTGAAGGATTCTTTGTGTTCCCTCTTGACTTGCGTTGTTTAACTAGTTTCGTCACTTCAGCTTTGTTCCCGCTCTGATTTGTAGCAGCTTATCAGAGCATTGTCTTTCACAAATGAGTGATGCTGGTTCTACATGCTGAATTAGGCGAAGTCCCTCTGACGTGTGCCTGGCAAGGGTCATTGACCATATCAATGACCCAACCATTAGGTTGCTTTGTCCTGACCTTAAGAGGGACACTGAGGGAAAAGAGTTGATGTTGCAGTCAGTAAATATATAATAAAAAAAAACTTTGAGCTTTGACTGGGTGACACAGGGGCTCAGTGGTTGGCACTGTAGCCTCACAGCAAGAAGGTCACTGGTTCAAGTCCCAGCTAGGCCAGGTGGCATTTCTGTGTGAAGTTTGCATGTTTTCCTTGTGTTATCGTGGGTTTCCTCTGGGTGCTCCGGTTTCCCCTACAGTCCAAAGACATGCGCTAAATTGGCTGTAGTGTATGAGTGTAAATGTGAGTGTGTATGGGCCTATTAAACTGATCATCCCAAAACAATATTCTGTCATAATTTCCTCACCCTCCATTTGTTCCAAACCCTTTTACATTTCTTTATTCCGTTGAACACAAAGGACAATATATATGATGAGCAATTGACTTCCAGTATTTTTTATACCTATTATAATACCTGCCAACACTCTTGTTTTTTTGGAAAACTCTTGTAATTTCACCCCGCCCCTGGTTCTCAGCTATTTGGTACAGTCTGTAACACCCTCAGGTCGACAACTGTGGCATAGTATCTGATGGCAGCAGCCGCCCAAAACCTGCTCCAAACTACAGTTACTAACCCAGCTCTCAACTGTGTTGTTTAGACAAACATCCTCAAACCCCTATCCCACTGACGCCGAAGCTATATATGCCATATACACTCACTGGCCACTTTTTTAGGTACACCTTACTAGTCCCTGGTAAGACCACTTTTGCCTTCAGAACTGTATTAAACCTTCATGGCATTGATTCAACAAGGTTCTGTAAATATTCCTCAGAGAGTTTGGTCCATATTGACATGTTAGCATCACGCAGCTGCTGCAGATTGGTCAGCTGCACCCATGATATAAAAGTCCTGTTCAACCACATCCCTAAGGTGCTCTATTGAATTAAATAAGAAAATATCCCCCACATCATTACACCACCACCACCAGCCTGAACTGTTGATGATGTATCCATGCTTTCATGTTGTTGACGTTAAATTTGGACCTTACCATCTGAATGTCGCAGCTGAAATCAAGACTCATCAGACCAGTCAACTTTTTTCCAATCTTCTATTGTACAATTTTGGTGAGTCTGTGCGAATTGTAGCCTCAGTTTCCTGTTCTAAGCTGACAGGAGTGCACTACAGTGCTCCTGTAGCCCATCCGCCTTAAGGTTCGACGTGTTGTCCTTTCAGAGATGTTCTTCTGCATACCTCGGTTGTAATGAGTGGCTATTTGAGTCACTGTTGCCTTTCTATCAGCTCGAACCAGTCTGGCCATTCTCCTCTGACCTCTGGCAATTAATAAGGCATATGGGCCCACAAGAGATTTTCTCTTTTTCTGACATTTTTTTGTAAACCCTAGAGATGATTGTGTGTGAAAATCCCAGTAGATCAGCAGTTTCTGAAATACGCTGATCAGCCCGTCTGGCACCAACAATTATGCCACAATCAAAGTCACTTAAATCACCTTTCTTCCCCACTCTGATGCTCGGTTTGAACATCTTGACCTTGTCTACATGCCTAAATGCATTGTGTTGCTGCCATGTGATTGACTGATTAGAAATTTGCGCACAGGTGTACCTAATAAAGTGGCTGGTGAGTGTATACATATTAATGAAATGAAGGTTTTTGCTACTTTCTTGTCTTTCATGACAATTCTCTTTTCCTTTCCTTCCATGCGTTCAAAATAATGAATGCATTGTCATTGAGTGCGTGATTCAACGTGACTGTTCATTTTAATTCAGCAATTTCTTTTTTCAAAAGATAATTAATTCAAATAAAACATAACTTGCATTACATTTTTTAAAAAAGTAACTCAAATATTATTTCTTAATTTTTTTTAGGTAATGCATTACTCATTACTTAGAAAAGTTACTGTTATTTTGTAACTTGTGTTGCGTATAATGCTAATGATAGTGTAGTGCTTTATCCCCAACACTAGAAATTCATAAATGTTCATAAATCCATAAAATTCTTAAAAAGCCAATTGTTTCTGGGGTGAACTGTTCCTTTAAATATTGTCAGGCATTAGTTCCTCACAAAAATACCTTTCATTTGTTTTCACAGTGATGAGCCAGCAGCTGTTGATCGTAGAGATGTTCATCATCACTCTAGTGACCCGTGTTTTATACAGACGTCAATATGAGCCCATACCAGAACCAGATGATGTCGAGGAGAAAAAGACTGTCCTCAGCTCCAAAAAAGCCATAGATGTTGCCTGAGAAGAACCGACTGTTGCGTGTGAATGAATTTGTATAATATATATTTGAGGCCGGTTATTAAAAATGGTCATTACCCTTATATATTCTTCATGTATGCACTTGCTAGTATCTAATATCTTGCCAGATGTTTTTATATTGACATCAATGCAAGTGATTGGGCTGCAGAACTAGATGTTTACACTTTATATTGGGTATATCTGAACAATGATGTTTTTAAACTTCTGTTCCTGCATTGAAGGTGTTGGTCTGTTTATTTTTTGTTAATAGACTATAAAGCATTATTAATCTCATACGTCATTGTGGTGCAGGTTTCCAGTGAAGTCAGATAAAGTCATCTCTATGGCTTAATGATAGGCTGCTTAAAAGAGATGACTTTTGGAGCTGGATAAAGGTCAGCATTCTTTCATGTTGCTAAATTGTACGTTCGTATAATATCCTTTGTAAAATCTGTGCCTTTCTGGTATATTGTTGAATACAGATATTTCAAACAATTGTGCCATTTGTCTATTTTTGGGTTGCTGTTATTAAAACTATTAAAAGTCATTCAAATAAAATGTTATATTTGATTAAAGTTTATTTAAAAATTATTTATTAAATTATTTAAAATAATTGATGTATATTAAATTATATATTATATATATTTATATATATAATATAAATTTATAATATATATATATATATATATATATATATATATATATATATATATATATATATATATATATATATATATATATATTAGCACATAAAATAGTAAATTATTGCTATGCATGATAAAATATCGATAAACAGATCTATTTTATTGCTATATAAAGCTTGTTGGTTAAATAAAAAAAGATATCTGTTTTTATTTTAGCTGTACTTTAACTCATGAAATCATTTGACATAATTGATGATTATCGGCACAAGTGGGAGGCGTGCATTGGCTTGACCCTGCAGGCTGAGTAATGTAATGTCCCACCAGTGATGATATACAGCCACATCGCACTGCTACAAGTGTAATATTGCGTTTATACAACAGATCGACGGCATAATCGTGTATATAAAAAAAGAAAATCAAACAAAGAGAGTCTAAAAACCCTTTTGTATGAGGAACTACTTTCTTGCTTCATTCATTTACATGTGCAGCTGACTTCAAAACAGTTGCTACTTCACCAATGTTGATTTATAGCTAGTATTTGAATGATTCTCTAATGTAATGTCTGAAGTGAAGACAAAACAGGTGATTTTGCTCACATTTTATGATTTTAAAGCTGAACAGCATGAAATGCCATCAGTCTACAGAGATTTCTTTCGCAGGCCCTTTATAATGTCTCTGGGGGCCCTCTTAATGTGTGGGCCCTTAGAATCCTAATTTACCCCCCTACCGTTGCCTCTGGATCAGCTGTACCTGGAGTTTTTGTCCTCTAAAATCCCATTCACACTGGGCTTCAGCATCAACGATTGATAGAGGATGTGTCTGAAGTTAGGGCTGACGCGATCATCATAGCATGTCAGCCAATAAAATTAGTCTGCAATTGGCTACTGCCTAAGTTGGTTTATTTGCATAAAGCGATCTGATTAGCTGACGCTTCCATCAGCACTAGAAAAGTTGAGAAAGTCCCAACTTCTGCAGCAAGCAACGCCACTGAAGCAGCACTGATGGATCCACAATGCAGTTCGGCAATGCTTGATGTCACCCATTCAAAGTGAATGGGAAGCGTTGAACCTGACGCCCCTTGTGAAGGGGGAGTAAGAGTTTATTATGCAGTCTCTGGTGCCATCTTGTGGATGGACAATGTCAACCGTCTTTGCTCTGCTTAGTGTGGCAGGGTGATGGCCGCAAATGCTGTCTCCGAAATTATAGAGATTTAAAATAGGCTCTATCCTTAAAAGTAAACTGAATAGTTGCAATCTAAACCACTACATTCTTGCCCAATAAAGCCTCAAAAGTACATTATAACTGTAGTGAGTTTATTGATCTGCTGTCACTCTATGTGAGTGTAGTAATACAGAAGGGTTAGGAAGCTGTACGAGTGCTGTTATTGCAGAATATCGCACAGCTATTAGTTAATCAGATTTGAACGAAAAAGAACTGTTGTATAAACAGTTTAAAAACATTTCATGCAAATTTGTGTACATTTTAATATATATATATATATATATATATATATATATGTGTGTGTGTGTGTGTGTGTGTGTGTGTGTGTGTGTGTGTGTGTGTGTGTATGTGTGTGTATGTGTATGTGTGTATGTATGTATATATATATTTAAAAATGTACACAAATTTCCATGAAATACTTTGAAATTGTAAATGTACAAAAAGTAAAATTATAATATAATATAATTAATATAATATAATATAATATAATATAATATAATATAATATAATATAATATAATATAATATAATATAATATAATATAATATATCCATCCATCCATGCATTAAATTCATCCATTCATTCACATAAAATTAACACTTTTTGGAGGGCAATTTTCCACTCCCCATATGTAAAATATAAATCTAAATGTAAACTTTGAATGCGTATTAATAAATTGCTTGTTATCAGGTCAACACACACACAAATGTAAACAACATATAACGTTAAGTCATTAAAAACAAAAACCCGCTGTTCTGCAACCTATCTGTCCCAAATGAACAGACCAATCACAAACTACCATCTATTTTTTCCGGGTTCGTATTTACCAATCACAAGCCTCTCTGTTTCAATCACTTTCGGTTGTGCGTTCGCTCTTGTCTACGTGCTGTTTAGCGCAACAGTGGTTATACTGGGAACACAGGAGTCGCTCACGTTTAACCTGCCTGTTATATTAATAACATGAAACGGAGGTGAATGAATCGGACACGGATATTGCTGTCAGCTCTACTCTGTGGACGCTCTCGGACATGAGACCAATATACAGCTTCATTTCATAAACATCCTGGCCTCCTTCTCTTCACATTTTCCCTCACAATGAGACTGTACGCTTTTCTTCTGCAGAACCATCTACCAAAGATTGAATATTATTCGCGGTTTTCGCCATCGCCGCTGTCAATTAAACAGTTTCTGGAATTCGGTAAGTCCGAGCGCATCCTTCACCTGGAAACCGACAGACGCTGACAGCAGCACTTGTTACGTGTAATAACGCAGCATTGGTATGTTTATTATCGCGTCATAGTACTGACATTACACCACATTATTAGTTTTCTGTAGAGATTCTAAATGCGACTAATGGTTTGTTTGATAATTAATAACTGCTCATTTTAATGTAAAAACACTAACAACGTGTATTACGTTAGTGATTAACGTTAGTTCTGTTATTATGCCTAACTTAGATATGTCAACTTATGACGTAAACAACATTAAGATATTACTGATGTCTCGAAAATATTACTCACTGTTTGTCCTTCAGACCTTACATTGTTGTTTTCTGTTATCTGCTGATGTCATAACTGGTTTACAAACTATCGATAATAGTGTTAATACGTTTGTTGTAACACAAATTAAATGTATAACTATATTTCTTTTAAGTATTTTAATAAAATAGTCTCTTCTATCTATATATGTACACTATTTAGTGTGTGATATGATTACTAGACTGAGGGGAGGATTTAGTGATTTTGGGGCCCTAAACGATTGCAGCCATGGGGCCCAAAAGTTCACAAATGCACCTTTTATACTTTTTGTTTATTATTATTTAGCTGTTATATAATTTGATCTCATTTTACATTTTGTTGTCCAACAGCTGCAATATTTGTCAAACTGTAGTGGATTTATTGATCTGCTGTCACTGTATGTGGGCGGAGTAATGCAGAAGGGTGAGGATATTGCAGAATATTACACTGCTATCAGCCAATCAGATTTGAGAACCAGACAGAGCTGTTGTATAAATGAGCACTATCACACTAGTAGCAGTGCGTTATGGCTGTATATCAGCACTGGTGACAATGGCATAATCGTGTATATAAAAAAGATATCAAACACTTCAGTCTAAAACCTTTTGGTACAGCTACTTTCTTCCACCATTCATTCACATCTGCAGCTGACGTCAGAACAGCAGAAACAGTTAAAAATTCAGAAATGTCACTTTAGAGATAGTGTTTGAATGATTCTCTACCGCAATGACTAAAAGTGATGACAAAACAGGTAATTTTGCTGGCATTTTAAGATTATAAGGCTGAACGGCATTTAATGCGATCAGATATTACAGTCATGTTATTAGTTTTCTGTAGTGATTCTAAATGCAACTAATAGATTGATATAGTGATCTATAGCTACTCATTGTAATGTAAAAACTCTAACAATGTGTATTTCTGAGGTAATTAATTCTGTTATTGTGACTAGATATGACAGCTAATGAAGTAAACAACAAAATATTACTCACTGTATGTCCTTCAGAGCTTTCATCATGGTTTTCTGTTATCTGCTGATGTCATAACTGGTTTACAAACATCTATACCGTATTATAATGGTGTTAATATGTTTGTAATTAATACACAATTTAATGTATACTGTAACTATATTTTCTTTCTACTTTAATAAAATAGGCTCTTTTATCTGTATATGTACACACTACACAAGTGATTTTAGGGCCCTAAGCAATTCTATCCAAAGGGCCTAAAAAGTCAAAAATGCACCTTTTGTACTTTTTGAAAAATATATTAATAGCATTCAGTCTTCTCTTCTACATTTTGTCTTAATGCAAAATAATAACATGTAAAGCACCGTGTAAATCTTTTCAAATGATTTGTTTTCTTAAGGTGAGTTCACAGCTAAAAATAATGAATGAATAAGTGAAGTTTCACAAACTAATTTCTAGAGGAGCACATGATATGATTGACCTCAGCTGGTCTCTCATCTACAATCATTAGTTAGCCAATCAGATTAATCCAAACCCACTATAAGTAGCCTAGCAAAAAATTACTCCCTTATCTTCATTTTCCGAAGAAACCCCTCATCCACCCCTTTTCCCCTTTCTTCCTTTACCACGGGGAGCTCTCAAGAACCACCTGATCTCGTACTCCCCTTACATGCTCTATCAACCAGGCGAGAGCCCTGGGCTCAATTATCTCCGAGCTCAGGGTTCTCTCCTGGGACAGCATGCAAAACCTGCTGACATTTGTCAAACAATATTTAAGTGTGAACTCTTGAATAGTTTTTAAAACTAAATCTTTACTGGTTTAACTGCTGGACTGGTTCATGGTTGAAGGTTGGGGCTACCCTCACCATACAAAATATGATAGAAAACATTGTCATATATAATTTATAGCTATCATACTTCTATACTTTATTTGGGGGCCCTCAGATTTCCTGGGGCCCTAAGCGGCTGCTTACCTTGCTTATTGGTTAAATTCGCCCCTGACTAGACTACATCTGCATTCAAAAACTTATGTTTGCTGTTTGTTCAAGCTACTGATTTAAAATGAGCTAAAACAAAACAATTCTTGTGTTTTTTAATTCTTCATTGTTTTAAGTTCAATCCAAGGGCATAAAATTGGCATGGACAAAGGGGACATGTCCCCACCAATATCCACCAATTACTAAAATATCCCTACCAATAATTTAACCGACTTCAAAATAAAATAAAGCTCCTTCAACCTTTAGTAACTTACACATGCACAAAGTCAAGTTTGCTACAAGTTCACCCTAATACCATTAACCAAAGCTGTGCAATTAATCCATATTCGGTTTACATTTTTTTGATTATGAGAAACAATAATCAGGATAAAACAGTTAAATGCGTCACAGGCATTTCTAAGTTTCTCTAAATTTATACCTCTTTAAAGCCTGACTGCAGTAATATCAAGGACATGATTGCTATTATTAGGTGTTTATTTTATGTTATTAAGTACTTTATTCATGTTTTTAAAAGCGCAAAACAGAATTTGTGCTGTTTAATGCAGCTCTAGGGATGTATGTCCCCACCAGTGTCAAGAGCAAATCTATGTCCTTGGTTCAATCCCCTTGAATTTGTAAAAACTAATAAGTTAACTTAATTCCTCTTTGTTGTCCCCATACACATGACATTATTTTTTACCATGTACAATAATTGAGTCAAATGCAACTAACATAAAATAAGTTGTTTTTAGATGAATACTTTTAACAAAAATGAAAACTCTGCCATTCGCTCATGTAGTCCCAAATGTAATGACTGACTTTTTAAAACTTTTTGGTTGAACGGTTCATTGAACAGTGACACTAATAGAACAAAAAGACTGTCATAATGACATGAGTCAGAAGAAAGGCTTATGCAAGAGGCTAATTATGATATTAGTTACAATGTTAAATAAATGATTGGATGGTTAGACTTGCTTGTGATGTTTCAACTAAAAACATCGGGGAGCTTTGAAGGCCTACAGAGTGAATATTTGTTGCATAACATATAAAAAAGCTTTCATTAGACACAAGGTTTTAAAGGAGAAATATACTGTTAATGTTTGTCATATAACCATCTTCATGCTTTATACATTGTGAACACGTTTTTATTAAGAAATTATTATAAAGAAACTTCAATAATTAATGTTAGAAAAACTTAAATTACATTTTGTTGTAAAATTTCCTGTAATGATCATCTAGCTGTATCTCACTGGAAATATTGGTTACATTTTGTGATGGCATAAAAAATAAATAATTGTTTTTTTCAGATTATATTTTTGAATTATAAGTGATTTTATATTTGTATATTTTTTGTGTCTACTTTAAGCTTTCAAATAATTTGGTGATAAAAATAATCTTATAACTATTCACTGTGTCATATTGTTTAAAAATGATTTAGATGATGAAATATTAAAAAGGGATCATACAAACTATACATAAATATATATATATATATATATACACACAAGGTTTAAGATCAATATTATTAGCCCCTTTTTTGATTGGCTACAGGACAAACCACTGTTGTACAATGACTTGTCTATAAGCCTTTAAATTGTACTTTAAGCTAAATACTGGTATCTTCCAAAATAACTAGTATAAATAATAAATATCATATACTGTCATTAAGGCAAAGACAAAAGAATTTAGTTCTAAAATGTGTTTCGTCATTAAATAGCACTTGGGAAACACTTAAAAAGTATTACAAATTCACAGGAAGGCTAATGATTTTGGCTTCAACTGTATATACTGAATCATTTCACTTTTTTAATTAACATTTTTAAAACTTTTTGCTGAAAAATAAAAATTAAAGCAACATATAAAGACTTAAAATAAGTAATTAGTTAAATTGGTGTTTTGGAACTTTCATGAGTGTCCTCTGTAAATCATGATAAAAATACATAAATATACAGCTAAAGATAAAATTATTAGTAAATGTTGTATTTCTGTCAATTTGTTTTCTTTTTTTAAAATATTTCCCAAATCATGTTGAACAGAGCAAACGATTTTTCACAGGATTTCATATAATATTTTTTCTTCTGGGGAAAGTCTTATTTTTTTATTTTGGCCAGAACAAAAGCAGTTTTACATTTTTTACACAGCATATTAAGGTTAATATTATTAGCCCCCTTAAGCAATTTTTTTTTCTGATTGTCCATCGTTACTGAAATGAGTTAAAAAATATACAGGGGGGCTAATAATTCAGGAGGGCTCATAATTCTATGTATGTAATATTTTATATATAATTGCCATTATTTTTTGCCCAGGAGAAAAAATAAAAGGCTGTGGTCACATTCTATTGTACTTTTTTTTTTTTTAAATAGTTTTGCACTGATGAGTTGTTGTTGACTACACTCAAGTCTCATATTTCAGATAAGGATGATAAAGCACTTTTAGTCATTTTCCATCAATAAAAAAGCCCTCCTGCTTCCTCACTTGTTTATCATGTTTGTGCCTTTTCAGGTCGGGACAATGCATGTGAGAAGACGTCCTACATGTTCCTGCGGAAGGAGCTGCCGGTGCGTCTTGCTAACACTATGAGAGAGGTCAATCTACTGCCGGACAGACTCCTCAGTCAACCTTCAGTCAAACTAGTGCAGAAATGGTGAGTATAGAAATTTATATTGGAGTAATATCAGATTCATATGCATTATTGATTCCCAAACTGCTACCAAATCTCTCCACAGGTACTTGCAAAGCTTTTTAGAGCTTCTAGAGTTTGAGAACAGGAAGCCAGAAGATGGACATGCCCTGAATGAGTAAGCAGCTTTATTTATTTATTATTATTATTTTTTATTGTTTTTGTTTGTTTTTGAGACATGTAGATGGTCTTGTTCTGCAGGCCAGTGGATGGTATGCTATTATATTATTATGTGAGGTGAATTCAGGCCAGAGTTGCTCAATGCTCAATGCTGAACACAATGCTCAGAATGACCCTGCAGAAATGGAGAAAGAATCTTATTGTTTTTTTTTTGTTTGTTTGTTTTTGCATTTTTAGCTAAATAAAATTATCTTAATGAATAGTGAAATTAAATGACAATTGAATAGTTGATATACACTGTCAGTTTTCTGGTATTGATAATGTATAATATTCAAATTTATTGTATATTGCAGGGCTAGTCAATTAGTTTGGCATGGGGGCTGGTTCATGAAAAGCATCCCAAACGAAGGGCCGGAGAGATATGACTTGCTATATGAGTGATGACACAACTACATATAAGAGCCCATATGCTGTATTTGTCCTCATAAAGACGCCCACATTGGCTTTTTCTACATTAAAATGTTAATATATTGTATTTTAAAACAACTGCATTGTCCAATTGACTTTTTTGCACTGAAAGGCACGCACAACTCTCACCGTGAGATGTTTTCTACTGCGTGCGCCTGGACAGAGGCAAGCGCGTTGCTCCACTTGTGCGCGCATATTGTCATTCTTACATTAGAAATAACAAACTTGCAAGCGTAAAAAGACGTGATATGGGAACGGCCGCTGCTATAGTTAATCCGGTGTGCAACTTTAAACTAGCGCACAGTTGGCAACTTGTCATAACTTTTCCATGCAACAGAAATGCGGCTTAGAGGAGTCTTTACGATTAATTAACTGTGACGAATTAAAGCGCAGTTAATAGTGAAATCAGCTAATCGTTGCATACCTATTAATGATTACAGTGCATTGTACAAAAGGCATTTTCTACAAAACATATCCAAATGTTTTCGGCTGTCCGCACCACTTGCTTATGGTGACTCACGCTCTGCGCAGGCTCTGCAGCTCATACTGAATTGAACAGACGCACGTCACTTCATAGCAATATCGGCCGTTTTGGTCACACTATTTGGAGGGCCAGAACAAATTACCTCGAGGGCCGGGTTCGGCCCACGGGCAGCCAATTGAATAGCCCTGGTAGGGTATACAGGTCAGTATTGTAGAGCTGCATAAAATATTATACAACATTTTCTCAATATTTTATCCCCAATTTATTAATTTTTTGGCCAGTTATTCTTTTTAGAATGTTTTAAATGAAATTAAATTAAATAAAATTAAAAGAGCTCTCTTTCCTTTATTTGCTGTAGTGCTGTATTTATACCATATAATTGTAGTATATTGAGTGTAAGATGGGACTCGCATATCAGGAATGTGTGTTTGTTGGCAGAAAGCGGTTGTACTTATCGCAAACCCAACAGCAATCTGGTAGTGATTGTGCTGCTTTTTTCGGGGTGCTGCTTTTTTCAGGGTTAATTACTGTGATATCCTGATTGCCACAGAGAAATACTGTAGACTGTAATGGACTGTAATAATGTAGTGAGAAATATCTGTAGACTGATGGCGTTTTATGTTGTATAGCCTTAGAATCTTAAAATGCGAGCAAAATAACCTGTTTTGTCATAATTTTAGACATTATGCTAGAGAATCATTCAAATACTAGTAGTTCCTCTTACAAAAGGGTTTTGAGAGTCTCTGTGTTTGAATTTCTTTTTTATATACACAATTATGCCATCGAACTGTTGTATAAATTAGGAATGCTCATTTAGGTTCATTTTGCCATCCAACAACCACCGCTCCTTAACCGAATATTAACCAATAACAGTTTACAGATTAATATTAAAATATTACTTCATAAAAAAAAAATTGACGTGCCTATTTTGTGTGACAATTTAAATATTGCATTTTAAAATACTGATTTATTTTAACATGCAAACAGCATACAGAACATAACAGAGCATCTTCACGCACCTGCAGTGTTTTCAGCAGCATAGAAAAACAGAATAAACTAAACAAAAAGAATAAAATAAATTCTGCTCTAGATCTTTTTTACTTCAAATAAAAATATTAGGCTACCTCAAATTGATCGCTCCACGGAAATATGCATTTAATTAATGCTCCGCTGTTAGTATTATATTACAAAACCTCTGTCAACATTTTTAATAGAAGTCATTAGTTTAAAGATTTTTTTAATTACGATAATGACTTATTTTCTCTGTCTCACTCACAGTTTATGTGTGTGTGCGCTGCGTGTAATGAAAGACAATGACAATGAACCTTAAGGCTTATATGTTGACTTTTTGTAAAATATAGGCTACCACATAGCATATAACAATTTTGTTGTTTACATATGGTATTGCATTAATTTGCATACATGTTTTATAAGCTATACATTAAGAGCCTCAGTTTGGTGCAAAGTTAACTTATGCAAAAATCAAGAAAAACTTTGTATTTGTTTGATTGGTAGATTATGCTATTTAAAAATGTATAATATATAAGAACTATTAATAACTGTAATTTTCCAAATTGAAAAAGGTTGGCTTGTTGGTTGTTACCTACACTAAATCATCAATAGCCTATTTGTGAGTTTATGACGCAGCTCCAGACATCACAGAGGTGATCAGCATCAGCGCTGGTTTGTCAACTCATCTGTGTCAAACTGTGACCAGAAATATCCCTTTTTCTTTTTGCTTCTTTTGGCACGTCTGTGGGCACGTGTGGTTGCACATGTTACTGTCCAGCAAGTTAACAAGCATGTGTTGCACATTGAAGGGCCGATCACAGCGAATCTTACTGTCTTTTATGTTGACAAGAAAAAAATAAGTGCAGTGCTCTTTTGTATGTCACTAGGAAATGACTGAATCAGCTGAGCTATATTGTGCGCGAGTGTTGCTGTCAATGTTGTTATAATTGCCAATTTTAATAGCATTATGATATTCAAGATTTGCAAAGTCATACAGCTCTAGATGACTTGAAACAGCGACCACATGTCTCTCCTCCATCATTAAAAGTTCGCCGTAGTCGCCTTGATAACACAAACACTGCTGTCACCTCAATGGAAACCTCACCTCTGCTTTCATTTGATTGATGAATGAAAAAGACACAAGGTAACATGCTTTTTCCAATCGAGTGCACACAGTGCACAACGGCAAACACGAAGCGAGCAAGGCGCATAAGCAGCACGTAAAACACTCGCGGTCGTTAGTTAAAAGATTTACCTCTTAACGCAAAAAGCACGTTCGCTGTGATCAGCCACTTATGCAGCCAAACTTTACAAATATATCAAATTAGATTTTTGATACCATTAATCGGTTACAAACGCAGCCTTTTGGTTAACGGTTAATCGGTTATTTTGAGCATCCCTAGTATAAAGGCAGTATCACACTCATGGTAGTGCGATGTGGCTGTAACATTGAAATATAAATAATAATAAAACAATATATTTATATAAAAAAATAATTATTGTAAAATGTATAATAGGCCTGTATTATATGTTGTACAGCACTATTTTTATTTATTAATACAACATTTCTTAAATACTGTGACAGTTCACATTATGCACTGGCTAAATTTAATTTTGCTGATCATGCAAATCAGTTTTTTTTCCCTCTGAATTTTATTTTAGATATTCTATCCTCAATATCTGACTCAATATGATCCATGTGAATAACGTTTGACCTGTCAACATTTTTCTAGCTTCTTAGAGACTCTTATTGAGATCAGGAACAGACACAATGATGTGGTCCCAACTATGGCCCAGGGTGTGATAGAATATAAGGAGAAGTTTGGATTCGATCCATTCGTCAGCTCCAACATCCAGTACTTTCTGGACCGCTTCTACACCAACCGAATTTCCTTTCGCATGCTCATCAACCAGCACAGTACGTCACTCAAAAAAAAGAAACACCCCACATACTGTAACTGTCATCGAGTTTTGCTGTGATTGTTTTTCTCTTGATTGCAGCTCTCCTCTTTGGCAATGACATCAACCCAGCGCATCCCAAACACATCGGCAGTATTGATCCCAGCTGCAATGTTGCTGAAGTGGTGACTGGTAAGGTCACTGTTATTGTTTAGCAACAGAACATCACTAGCTGGGTTTCCATCACCCTGTTTTAATGCATATTTTGAAGTATCGCAAGGAAAATAATAAATGTTTTTTTATGCTCGCTTGAGGTGGTTTTGGGCTTGTTTACTGTTGGTTTCTAGGTTACCAATACTACACTGAGCCCCTTTAACAACTTGATGGAAACGCACCTCATTTGCTTTTGGGATTTTTTTTTGTGTGTTTTTTGCAAACTTTGAAAAGATTTACTTTGCTTTAGAATGAAAATCCAGAAACTTTTATATTTCAAACAAATTACTGTTAAATGTTACATTTATAAATGTTGGCAATAACTTAAAGAAAATTTACAAAAGTACCAAAATAAAATAAATCAAAATTTAAAAAATGATTATAATTACAAAAAACACAATAAATGCACTATAAAAATGAATTGTTAAAATTATGGTTAAATAAAATCTAAATATTAGAAATGGTTATTTTGTTAACCGAAACTAAAACCATAAACATTATTATTATTTATTTCAATAATTATTTTTCATGGTTTTAGTTTTAAGTTGAAAAAAAAAAATGAAATAATTTTTAAAACATTTCTTTAAAATGCTGCCACTAACTTAGGGGAAAAATGTACTAAAAGTAATAAATTAAAAAAAAAAAAAAAAATATATATATATATATATATATATATATATATATATATGTATAAAAAATAATGAAGGTTGCAAAAGCCACAATAAAACTAATATAAAAATTAATTATTTAAATTTTGGGGAAATAACATCTAAATATTAGACAGCGTTATGTTTTTGGACAGAAACTAAAACCATACAATTATTTTGTTATTAGTATTATTATTTATATTTTAATATTTTATTTCAAGATTTTTTTTATGATTTTAGTTTTTACTTGAAATAAAACTAATATTAATATAAAATAAAAAAGAATAAAAAGGAAATTGGTGAAATCAAATGAAATAATATGAGTAAGAATCTGCTTTTTCATCTCAGATATATATTCCATTTGAAAAATCTATTCAATTAGAAAACATTTACTTAAAACTGTAAGTTTTGCTGTATTTTTTATAAAGCAAAGTAAACTAGGTGTTTTTCATTAAAGCAGGTATTTAGTGAATAAAAGAAAAAAGTTTACCTAACCCCAAGCATTTGAGCCGTTGTGTAGGAAAATCTCCCCTATCCTTTGTTTAGATTTTGCGCTCCACTGATTCAGCGTCATGTTGTTTTCAGATGCCTACGAAACCGCTAAGATGGTGTGTGAGCAATATTACCAAGCTGCCCCTGAGCTGAAGATAGAAGAATTCAATGGTACCTTTCTTTCCATTGTCTCCCACATAATGCTTTAAATATTTGTTTCAGTGTTACTCCATGCCTTATGAATGCAGTGACATTTCCAGAGCTCAAAAACACCATTAATATTTCACTTCTCTCAGCAGCAAAGGCTCCTCAGAAACCCATCCAGGCAGTTTATGTCCCCTCGCACCTGTTCCACATGCTGTTTGAATTGTTCAAGGTAGGTTTCTAAAATGTGTGTGCGCATATTGAATTTGGCTCATCAAAAAACTGTTGTCTTGCTTTACATTAAGTGGTCTTAACTACTATGTACTTGCATCAATACATAAATACAATGTACTTACTGTGATCCCAATGTATTGCAGAACACTTCTGGTGCTCTTGAGGTGTGATATAGGTAGGGTTAGAGACAGGTTTGGAGGTATGGGATAGGTTTAAGGCAGCTCTGAAGGCAAAAGGGGGTCCAACCTAGTACTAGTAAGGTGTACCTAATAAAGTGGCCAGTGGATGTATTTACAGAATAAGTAACTACATGTTTAATATTGGATTCTTGAGTTCGATCTTTGTGCTTTGATATATCACAATAACAGCTTGTGTTTGTGTTTGCAGAATGCAATGCGAGCCACCAATGATCTTCACGAGGGCAGCAAAGAGGGTCTTCCTCTTATAAAAGCAAAAGTGACCCTGGGGATTGAGGATCTGTCCGTGAAGGTCAGTGTGTTTGTGAGTTAGTTTTCTTTGTAAACATGCCTTGAGCTTACATTTTTGTATTTTTTTTATTCATAGATCAGTGACAGGGGAGGGGGCGTGGCATTACGGAAGATCGACAGGCTATTTAACTACACCTACTCGACTGCACCCACACCCAGTCTGGACTCCAAACGAGTGCCGCTGGTAATGAGAAACTTCTTCCTGACATCACTCAGACTTTTTAAACCATTGTGGGAAACTAAAGGAGAGGTTTAGTCAAATGTTAATGCTGTACTTGGGCTTTCAAACACCATAAATGTTACTTTTGTATTAAAAAATACTCTATAGCTTCCAGAGGATAAACAGATCCAAATTTAAGTTGTTAAATGTCAAAAATGTTTCATTTTGCAGTAGGCATGGGCTGGTATAAGATTCTGATGGTATGATAACCTTGGATAAAAATACCACGGTTTCATGATATTATAATTACTGCTCTAAAATATATTATTTTTAAATGTTTGGGTAAAAAACAACAACTTATTCCCCTTTGAACACAATATAGTTTATGTTTTGAAAGATTTAAAATATTTTAAAGTGGTAAACATGTCAGGCTAAATAATTCAAATGAATCATTGACATCTGCTGTCTTCATTAGCTTGAAAAACACAGATTTCTTTACAATTTAAAATGGCATCTTTGGATAAATTTTCTGCTGGAGATACTGTTGTCCTAAAAAAAAAAGGAAAATGTAAATAAACAATCTTACATGTACCTTAGAAACAGTATTACTAAACATTTTGGAGGTTTTAACACCTTGACTTTACCAAACCGCAGTATACCTTGAAAATGGTTATCGTCACATGCCTATTTTGCAGTAGCTTTTAAAAATTTAGTAAAACTCAGTTTTCGACTTTGCTATGATATCAAACCTTCAAAAAAAAGTTTCGATTTGTTTCTTATACAAAGGAAATTAATGTTTTATAGTTAAAAGTAACTATAAAAATTATATTTTTAATTGAAATCAAGCTGATATAAATAATCAAATAATAAAATTTACATTTTAGACGGGGTTATTATTACAGTAATAATAACTAAATAACTAAAACTAAAACCATAAAAATACAATTATTTTTGCTCTTTGATATAAAAATTTTTTTTTAATCAAAATTGTCTTTTTACTCACAGCAATGTAAAACTAAACTGACTTTGTGTGTGTATTTGTGTTTGTGGATTATTTATTAGTCATTAGTTTTAGTCATTTGGACATGTGCCTTTACCATAATTAATAAATGTAAATCATTTAAAAACTAAAACAGCACTTAAAACTCAAAATGCCACTATAAAGCCATGCATATGCACCTGTTTATGGTATTTTCTGCATTTATACAGTTTCTTTTGTGCTTCTTAAACATTTCCTTTTGTATAAATTGAAAGTAAGTAATCCATGAGGATTTGGAATGACATGGGAATGAGTAATGGATAACATGATTTTAGATTGAACCTTGAACAAACAGTTCTAAATGTAGCACTATCCTCCATAACCTGATCTGTAGGCTGGGTTTGGCCATGGTTTGCCGATCTCAAGACTCTACGCCCGATACTTTCAAGGAGACCTGAAACTGTACTCGATGGAAGGTGTGGGGACTGATGCCGTCATCTATTTGAAGGTAAAAACAGCTCCCAGTTTAAACTTTATTCAAAGGTCAAGTATGCAAAATTACATGTACAGTCATATTGTTGTGTTAATGGACACTGAGTGACTTAAAGGAATACTACTTTTTTTGGAAATATGCTAATTGGAAATATGCTTAAGAGTCACCTAGAGTTAAACAACTGAGTTTTACCAATTTTGAACGTATTCAGGGTGAGGTTAGGAAATATCCTCTCATTATGCAGTGATAATCAATGAACTTTGCTGCTGTACCATACATCGAACAAGGTAACAGTGTTGCATACTAACATTGTCCCTGCTGCAGCCATGGTACAGCAGCAAAGTGCCTTGATTATTATGCCAGAACAAAAGTACAGTTTCTAGCTATATCAGCCAAAAATAGAAACTGTCAGTCTTAGTACATGCTGTAATAAAAAAAAGAGTTAAGCTATAACTAGGGCCAGAAAGAATCAGCGGACATTTTTTGCGATGTCTGAGCAGAATTTTGTCAAATGTAGATTTATGTGGAATGATTTTGGGAGTATCATTACTAAAACTTAATATATGAAATAAAATAATAATAGTAACAAGTACTGGAAAAAATGGTCTGAATATGTCATTGTAAACAATTTGTGATAATGCATGTCAAATGTGTCATGACTTGATTCTGTAACCCTTATGACAACCGCTTTGTTCTCTGTTTTTCTATTTCTATTTTTTTCTCTCTTTTCTCTTAATAAAAAAAAGTTTAAAAAATGTTTTTATAAAAAATAATAGCTTTTTAACTTTTCTCTCTCATATAATATATCTGTTAAGAGACAGAAAATAATACTTTACAAACTGTATTGTAAATAAATCATATGAACAATAACATGTCAATAACATTACTAAAATTAATTTAAAAAACTGAAATATAAATCTACCTGCGTTTACACAAGTAATTAAATAGACTCGATGGGCTAAAAATCTATGGAAATCTGCAGATTTCTGTGAAAATTCCAGATTCTGTGTGGGCCTAGCCTAGCCTTTATTTTGACCAAGATGCTAATGGTCTAATCTGATTGAATGATTTATGCTAAGCTAAGATAAAAATGTTCCTGCCAGACCCGGAAATCCACTGATTGTATTAAAAAATGGTAAAACTCAACTGTTTAATTCTAGAGTAGTTTTAAATGCTTGTTACTTTTTTTTTTTAATCATTTTTTTTATTTTTTGATTGCCTTGGAATTTAAAAAATTTAAATGTAAAAAACATGCATATTTATGTATGTATTATATCATCTTTGCATCAAATTACAAAAAATTTATTAGCAAGGCGTTTCTAATGCAGCACCTATAGACAGGACAGTAGATTTGACGTTTTTCTTTCTTTTGTCTGCCGTTATCAGTCGCATACAGTTTTTGTCTTTTTTCTGAAAGTCTTGATAACACCATGGTGGAGTTTTTCTTTTATTATTTCAGCAAATAGGATTGTAAAAACAAATGATTTGTTGTACTCTCTTATTTACTGCGCTTTTACCCAATGGAAATGTGAAAGTAGTCTATTGCCTCAAAGCAGAATCAGCTGTTGTTTCGTTACAGTGCATAAAGAATATTGTAAAGGTATTTGACTCTGTCTATTTTGATCTATCCAAGTGCAACTGACATGGAAAACAAATGGACTTGCAATTGCCTTTTTGACGTGTCCATCGTCGAGTCCCTTCAGGATTTTGCAGGGACATTTTTTTTATTAGTAGCCTAAAAAGACTCAAAAGGGCATTATTTGCTTCAATTTCTTGTGTTTTGCAGTGAAAATACACAAACTCTTTTTCTTTTATTATAAAGGTACCACCTCCAGTGACAGCTTGTGTACTTTTTTTCTGAACGTGTAGATGTCCTTTAACAGTTTTTTTAGACAATGTTTTGAATCACATCATCTTCTCAACCAGGCCCTCTCCAGTGAATCATTTGAGCGTCTGCCCGTCTTCAACAAATCTGCATGGCGTCACTACCAAGGAGGCCCAGGAGCAGACGACTGGAGCAACCCGAGCAAAGAGCCCAGAGATACCTCCAAATACAAGGCCAAGAGATAATTGCACTCACCCCATCCAAACACCCATAACACTCCCTCTGTCTTTAGTCCAGCTCATCGATGCTGTGTATTCGATACTTGTTAGCATTTCCAGAGCAGAAGTTTCTTTACATCTCTGCTTCATCCTCCTTTGTGCAGCTACAGACATTAAAAACACAACCTCTTTTTTAGCGTCTTCCAGGGTGGTTGGAGGCAATGGTGAAGATTTGTGGCCAGGGTTGATGGATAGTTTCCTTCTTTCTTTTTAAATCGTGCCACAAAGTAACCCCACTAAAACAGCCAGAGAAGGAAAAAACAAAGAGCACTGCCATTCAGAAACACACAGGCAATAGAGAGCTGGTTGGTCAGCAGTTTCTGGTAGTCGAGTAATGGAGAACCACTCTGAAAAGCCTCAGGATTAATTAAGTTACTTTCTGTAGACTCGAAATTTCACGAAACCATTTGGATGTTCAGGTTATATGTCAGTGTAGTATCAAAAGAAAAATATGAATGTATTTTGCATGAAGAAAAAAGCTTAGAAGAGTTATTGTATAATATATATATATATCTCAATAGTGTTGTCAAGATCCTGGAATTTGATAGCAATTGCAGTGAAAATTTTAAAAACGTCCATTTTCCGCTAACATTTGTGTGCATTCTTAAACAGTGCTGATTTGCTATTGTGTTCATGTGCTCAACAGAAATGACTGTGATTGGCCATGATGAATTGCAGATTTGAAATGCTCTAGTGTCCCTTTATCAGTAAACAGCGGCGTGTTTGGTGACCTTCGTGGCCAAATCACAGTCATTTCTGTTAAGCACGTGAACACAATGGCAAATCAGCGCTGTTTAAGAAGGTAAAGACTAGATGGCCGGCCGGAAGTGCTATATGCACATCAATATAGTAGCATATTTTTATGACACTGTATAACAATATTGAATACTTTTCAGTAATATGACGTTTGGGTTGGGGGTAGGAGGAAAAAACTACAATTTATGGGGTAATTTAATAGATAGCATAAATAATACTCGGTACGACTACTCTTTTTACATTACTGTGACGGTTGGATTTAGAGGCGGTTTGGCAGTAGACATTATTAAAATACAATAAATGGGAAATTTAATAAATGATGTAAATATTTCTTGTTAACTAACCATATCCGATCTAGCAACAACCGTTTAAGAACGAGCTACACAGCACTCAAATATTAGCATTTTTTAAAAACTCAGTATCGATTGGTACTAAATTCCAGTATCGTGACAAGACTAATATACTATAACATTATATCAAATATTTTAAAAAGTCATGCATACATGTATAATTATAAAATCTTATTTTCAATGTACATTCATTTTATTTGTAAAGTTATTTAAATCATTTATATTTTTAAATGGGTTTTTGTAATATTTTAATAATATTTATTATTTTAATAATAAAAAAATCATCCAGGAAGGATGATTTTCTTTAAGAGTCATTTGCACTTAATTATCACAACACAACCAATTTTGCTGGTTCTACAAATATTTTTTTATGCAAAATCTTTCATTACTTTTCTTTTAATGCTCCACGTGAAATATCAGCAGGTTGTTTCCTCATTAGATGCAAATACAAGAGAGTATGCAGAAAATAACGCATCTTTCCAAGCACTTCGAAATGATGAATATAGATTAAATATTTATCTTTATTTATTTGACCCCACATTTATTCGCGCAGTCATGTGGGGTGTGTTGGTTCTGAGCAGGGTCTCAGTCGTTTTTAAGTGGATTAGAAGTAGCACTTCTACTATGTTCCCTTTTTAGTCAGCAATACAAGACATTCTGCTAATGTCAATGAAGAGAGATTGTGATAAACTCTGATAAGAATGCACCACAGTAGCCTATAACAGCATTAGTGCTGTAGTCATTCATTTTTCTTTTTTAGTCTTAAAAAAAAAAGCAAATACTGTTTGTACAGTATCTTACTGCATTTTGCATGGTGACATGATAGTTGACAGAAATATGCTTGCTTGAAAAGTTTGTTAAAAAAGAAAGTGTAGTTCAAATCCATCAACAACCTAGAAAAAAAAGAGTTTAGTTATCAGCTGACTTATGATCCTGACACGAGTTTTAAAATAGTTTATCAGACATTCCTTTTAATAACATTAATGTTTTTCAGAGGACCTCATCTTAAACTGATTTATTTTGGATTTCAACCATTTAGATGACATGCAGATCATCAGACTGTCTGGTTTAAAGGAACCAACGCTTAACTACAAGCTTAACTTTGCCCAGGCTAGTTTGTTTGTTTGCTACACTGTGTACTATTATTTCAAATATATATAATTTGTCACTCAATGATTCTTTTATACGCACAAAGTGTATTTAGGTTAACCTGAATGATTTTTCTAGTTAGGTAAGTGGCCTATTATCTGAATTTGTGGACTTTCAAAACTTTTTTTTATCACTTTTTTTACACTCCAAGATGTATCTCAAGAAACGTGAGGTTCACCGATGGAAACTTTGCAGCATGCTGTTGTATTTATATACTGATGGATCATTTATCTGTCTTTATATATTATATTCTGTTACTCTATCTTTCCATGCAAACATTCAAAACCATCTACGTGTGTCTTAATGCTGCTTTATGATGTGTTTAGTGAGTCCTCAAGGGAACCTTTTAGGCGTACAGTACTTAAGTTTTCTCAGACGTTATTGAAGTGTAGTTTTCAGTATTTATTTGAAGCTATTTGTTCGTTTTTGTGTTTAATTTAGTCAATGAGGAATGCACTTTGATGCCTTGAACCCAGAGCGATCCGACGAGAAGTATGCAAGAATATTCCTGTGAAACCAAGGCCTTGTGTGTCGTTGTCAAGCTCAAATTGTCCCAGTATACTCTTGTTTATGCATGAATATGGTGTGTTAATGTACAACACATTAGAAAAAAAAACTGTTTACCTACTAAGAAATATCTAACCTGATATTTTAGTGTTGTCCTGCAGCCATCTTGTATTTGCAAAATTTTTGGGTGACTTTTTTCTTGATCTTAAAGGGTTAGTTCACCACAAAATTCAAATTCATCATCATTTACATGCCCGTTTGCCATTTCAAACCCATCCAAAGTCAAAATAACATTTTTGAATGAAACCTCAAATAAAATCCAATGAAAGTTTGGAGCATCTGGTCAAAAATAGATGTACAGTATATCATGTGTCCCACGCGGAATTTGCGTACGCAGAAATCCGCAGATTTTTTGCAAATAATTTCAACTATTTATTTACTTGTGTAAACTTATTTTAATTCAGTTTTTAAATTAATTTTAGCAATATTATTGACTATTATGAAAATGTTCGTATGATTTATTTAAAATACAGTCTGTAAAGTAATATGTTATGTCTTTTAGTAGAGATATTATGTGAAAGACTTGCTTAGTTTACTAAATAAGTGGATCTAATTGGATTTGCATTGTAAACAATAAATAATTTAGTTATTTATTTAATTGAATACGTTAAAAACGTTTTTTTTTATTTCATATATTAACATTTTAGTTATGATTCTCCCAAAATTATTTCGCATAAATCTGCAGATTTTTTGCAAAATTCTGTGCAGAAATAGCCCTCCTCATTAGTCACATCGGTATTTTAATTTCTGATGATGATAAGCAATATCAAGACATTATAAGTAAAAAGGTCCACTTTAATTTTACGCGCACAGACATCGTCACCAAATATAAACTGAGAGGTGAGACTTTTTCATACATGGCCTTATTTCACTTGTCAGTTTTTTGTAAAAATCGATCTATTGAATTAATCAATCTTTAAAAAAATGTAGACTAGAATTATGCATTATATGCTTAATTATAGAGAGGAATTAAAGAGGAACCAAGACTGTATCAGATCTTGAAGCTGATCAATGTTGATCTTTCTTTTGAGGTGTAGAAATGAACAAAACAATAGTCATAATACTGTACAAAATATTCTAAGATTAAAATATGGAAAAAGTTATCAGATGATAATATCGGTCAACGGATAAACATGTGTCTTAATGCTGCTTTATGATGTGTTTAGTAAGTCCTCAAGAGAACCTTTTAGGCGTACAGTACTTAAGTTTTCTCAGACGTTATTGAAGTGTAGTTTTCAGTATTTATTTGAAGCTATTTTTTGTTTAATTGAGTTGAAAAAAATCGTTGGCTAGAATTGCAGTCCTATCATAAAGCAGATCAATGTCGATCTTTCTTGTGAGGTGTCAGTGCAGAAATGTAGAAAACAATACAAAACGTAGTATGATTAAAATATGGAAAAGCTATCAGCTAGTAATTTTGGTAAATTTTCCCAACGAATAAACAGCACTCAAATTTCAAATTTCAGCATGCTATTACTTTCGTATTCGTCATGAAACACACATTTTCGGGTAGGAATGATGACATCCCGCCCTACTCATCATTCTTTCTTCATATAGCTGTATATATAACTATTACACAACCATAATACTCTGTGATACAGTTAGTCCATTGGATCGTTTTGCTTTCTCACTACAATCAATACCCTCCAGGGTTCGTTTCAATCCAGCTGAGACCACCTATTTCAGTAATCTAGGACCGACTGATTTGGCGTGGATCAGAGCGCAATTGCTGAAATCATATATGCCAAACGAACTGCATTAACTGGGCAAATGAGACAGAATTCAAAACAAATGTCTAGGCGTGAAAGCACCTTAACACTAAATTTTCATGTTTATGTGAACTATCCCTTTAAGATAAACACCAATTTTATAGATAAATGCTTTCTGAAGAAAACATGACATGTGTTTGCACTGACACAACAAATCCTCATCATAAAGATATGGACATTCCATCTGAAGTACCTAAAAAAAGAAGAAGAACAATAAAAAGATCTTCCAATACCATCATCCATACGTGTTCTTGAGTTCGTAATGAGCCTCGCCGCTTACGATTGTTGTATCTTAGTTTATTATTTACATTTTAAGCCATTTTTAATGTAAAAGAAAACAAATAGATTATTTTTACAGAGTGCAGATTGCATACATGATGAAAACTAGACACGACAGGAAGAATTACATGATGTAGGGCTGAGCAGCACTGATTTAATGTAATATCCCCTTGTTTCCTAAAAGCCACTAGACCTTAAACATTTGATTTGTCATTGTGTTAAAAATTGCTGTGTTTCGAGGTTAAGGCTACAGTAACATACAGGTTAATGAGAACTAAACACATGCACAGACAGCTGGGTGAATGCTAGCGGCCTGCTCATTGGTGCAGTTATACATTTTCATGAGGTGGATCAGACTTCATTTTGACATCATAAAAAAACAAACTAAGCACAGGGATTGGTGGTGTACGTACAGTGTGTTACAGTAGGGCAGTCCCAGTGTTTCAGTCAAACCTGAGCAATAGACATCAGAATCAGTCCTCTTGAACCTCTGGGGTGAATTTTGTAAGGATGCTTGTATATTAAAATAATACGTAATATCTGATCTTTTTATGGCTGATATCAAAATCCTAAACCACATTTTGTGTGTGTATACATATATTTCATTTCACTGACAACCTTTTGGCCACTTTTAAGTTATTAACCATATTTGCAGGAATGAAATAATAGTAAAATTGTAAAAAACAAAACAAAAAATTAATTGTTATATCTGAAAATGAATAAAAGCAGATTAAAGTTCTACTGTATATCATATTTAGTATTTTGTAAATTCACTTAATACACTTTTCCTTCCATTTTTTGTTTTATTGGCATAATTTAAAAAAAAAAAAAAAAAAAAATATATATATATATATATATATATATATATATATATATATATTTTTTTTTTTTTTTTTATGGCTGATAACTAATAAAGTTCAGTAAAATGAAGTTTAGAATTTTAATATCTGCCATATATCCATTAGCAGCTAAAACCAATCATTTTCAATGATGCAACTGAGCATCATCACATATACAGTACGAAAACAGACATTCGTTGTTGAAATTTCCTGAAATTACCATGATGAACAGTTATAAAAGTATGCATGTGTTTAATGTTGAACTTTAAGCACTCATTAGATAATGAAAAAGGTCAGTCAACTATAATATTTGTTAAGAAACCAATAATTATCCAATATTAAAAAAAAATCTGCCAATAATTAATGTGATATAAATATTGCTTATATCAGCTTATCTGGTAACACTTTACAATAATGCCTAATCAGTCAACATTAGTTAATACATTCACCAACAATCATAAAATACATATTTTTTTACTTACAATTTTTTGATTACTTTGGTGCATCCCTTTTGATCTTAAAAATGCTTTAAGAAGTGTTGAGATTACTCACAAATAATACATACTGTAAAAATATTGTTCATTGTTAGTCAGTATTAACTAATGCAATGAGTAGGGTCTGTCTGCGGACTGCAAGATGAACGTAAGATGCATGGGCGTAACTTGTAGTACTTTAGAGGCGTAACTTGAAGGTATGGAGACTCACACGTCAAAACTATGTTGTCGGCAAGATGTTTACAACTACTCCACACTTAAACCCAACCATCACAGTTATAAACGTCCATATCTTCCCCAACCCTAAACCCAATCATCATCGTTAATAACGTCTGCACCTTCCCCAACCCTAAACCCAATCATCATCATTAATAACGTCAACACCTTCCCCAACCCTAAACCCAATCATCATCGTTAATATTGTCTACACCTTCCCCAACCCTAAACCCAATCATCATCATTAATAACGTCTACGCCTTCCCCAACCCTAAACCCAATCATCATCGTTAATATTGTCTACACCTTCCCCAACCCTAAACCCAATCATCATCGTTAATAATGTCTACACCTGCCCCAACCCTAAACCCAATCATCATCGTTAATAATGTCTACACCTTCCCCAACCCTAAACCCAATCATCATCATTAATAACGTCTACGCCTTCCCCAACCCTAAACCCAATCATCATCGTTAATAACGTCTACACCTGCCCCAACCCTAAACCCAATCATCATCATTAATAATGTCTGCACCTTCCCCAACCCTAAACCCAATCATCATCATTAATAACGTCTACGCCTTCCCCAACCCTAAACCCAATCATCATCATTAATAATGTCTGCACCTTCCCCAACCCTAAACCCAATCATCATCTTTAATAACGTCTACACCTGCCCCAACCCTAAACCAAATCATCATCGTTAATAACATCTACACCCTCCCCAACCCTAAACCCAATCATCGTTGTTATTAACATCTACACCTTGCCCAACCCTAAACCCAATCATCATCGTTAATAACATCTACACCCTCCCCAACCCTAAACCAAATCATCATCGTTAATAACATCTACACCCTCCCCAACCCTAAACCCAATCATCATCGTTAATAACGTCTACACCTTCCCCAACCCTAAACCCAATCATCATCGTTATTAACATCTACACCTTCCCCAACCCTAAACCCAATCATCATCGTTATTAAAGTCTGCACCTTCCCCAACCCTAAACCCAATCATCATCGTTAATAACATCTACACCTTCCCCAACCCTAAACCCAATCATCATCGTTATTAACATATACACCTTCCCCAACCCTAAACCCATTTATCATCGTTATTAACATCTACACCTTCCCCAACCCTAAACCCAATCATCATCGTTAATAACATCTACACCTTCCCCAACCCTAAACCCAATCATCATCGTTATTAACATCTACACCTTCCCCAACCCTAAACCCATTTATCATCGTTATTAACATCTACACCTTCCCCAACCCTAAACCCATTTATCATCGTTATTAACATCTACACCTTCCCCAACCCTAAACCCAATCATCATCGTTATTAACATCTACACCTTCCCCAACCCTAAACCCAATCATCATCGTTAATACCATCTACACATTCCCTAACCCTAAACTTAATCATTACAGTAATTTACGTCCACACCTACCACAACTCTAAATTGAACCATCATAGTTATTAACATCTACACCTACCCCAACCCTTAACCCAACCGTCACAGTTATAAACGCCTACACCTTTCCCAACCCTAAACCCAAGCATCACAGTTTTTTAACGTACAGACAGAGTTGCGAAGGCTTTTATACTTGACGAGCTCACTATTGTTCTGTTATTTGCAACCACAGGGGTCGATGTAGGCTAACTAACTGTCATGACATAACGGATAAAGAATTCAGCGAGTTGCATGGTGGAGTTGCTAAATGAATGAATATAATTATATTTCAAATGAATTGGTTGTGGATAAATTTGGAGAAAACTCATTAGTTCAAATGTTCTCTGGTGAGTATTTCCGCCAACTTGCCAATAACATCTCGTTGTGACATCTGGCGTGGTTCAATGGGATCTCGATAACTGCAAGTTATGCTTCTCTAACTTACTACAAGTTACGACCCTTTGTGTCACGCCCCCATCTTGCAGTCTGCAGACAGATACACTTGAATGCAGTTAACCAATAAAACCTTACGGTAAATAATTAATTTTTAAGGGATTTGAGTGCTAACAACATATATAACGTGTTCAAAGAAAAGATGCAGACGTTTCAGTGAATCCCCCTTCTGTTTATTAAGCTCCTCTCAGTATATATTCAGGGCTGCGATGGCTTTCAAAAAGTTTGCTGTAATACCAGCATAAATAAACAGGACTTGGACAAACCCTGTGCTGTGTACAGTACATTATTTTTAATTTCCCCATAAGAGTATTTGACCTGTCATTCGCTCCCAGTGTGTGTGTGTGTGTGTGTGAAGGTAAAGTGCAGTCTGTTAGGTGTGTGAGTGATGGTTGATTCTCACTTCTCGTCCTCGTCACCTTCACTCATGCTGCTGATGGAGGCGGAGGCGCCCTTCGGGGATGAGGGTGGTGATGTTCGGGGCATTGCCCAGCGGGACGGGGGCGACGGGGAACGGGATGGAGAAAAGTCCCTTGGAGGGCTGCTGCTGGGTGAGCCACGTGGTGAAAAGGCCTGAATCATACGGCCGCTTCTCTCCTGAAACATCTGCTTCTGGAAACATTAAAAAAGAGCTGATTTAATTATTTGGCAGCTTGACTGGAGAATGGAAAACAAAAAGATTAGGTTTAGATTAGATAAGAATTGATCTCTCAATTCTGACTTTTCTTTATTCAGAACGGTGACTTTCACAATTGTATTTCACGATTTAGGGTTATTAAATGCAGTTAGATAAACTAGATATAAACTAAAAGATTTTAAGGAAAAACGTCAGAATTTTGGAAAAAACTTGTTGTTGTGATATTGTAAAACATCTGAATTGTGAGACATGAACTCAGAATTCTTCTAAAATAGACTCAATTGAGAAAATTTAAGTCAGAGTTATGAGAAATAACATGTCAACAAAATAAATAAATAAAAATAAATAAAAAATCTAGTGCTGGGCAGAGATTAATCGCATCCAAAATAAAAGTTTGGATATACGTGTGTGTATTATTTACATATATTTATAACACACACATACAAAACTACAAAACTATTTTGTTAGATAATTAAACGTATATATCAATTGTATCATATACATATATAGAATTTATATCTAAACATAAATCAACATTTCTCAAACATATGCACGCATGTGTGTATTTATATGTACAAATAATAAATATACTCTACACTACACACATATTTTAAGTCAAAACAAACTTATTTTAATCAATTAATTTTTGCCCAGCCCCAAAACATATAGCAAGAAATAAAGTTACAGATGATGCAATTCTGAAAAACAAAGTGTCTGATTTAACTATATAAAATACATAACATTGTTAACACATAAGTATTATTATTATTTGTAAATTTTTGCAAAAAAAATTGCAATTACCCTGTTTTATCTATTTATTTAATAATGGGGGAATGAGTGTCCATAATATCAATACCAATGGAAATTTGGGATCAGTGAAAAAAATTTAATCAAAGAAAGTAAAATTAATTCCAACAAATACTTGTAATGCTGTTTTAAATGTATATCATCAAAAGAAATGTAAAAGAAGTGAAAAATTTGCTTTGAATCACAGGAATACATTACATTTAAAGATGTATTTAAATAGAAAGAAATATATTAAATTGTTGTTTTTTTTCATATTATTTACTAGACTGTATGTTTTATTAAATAAATAAGCTTTACCCATGTTCCATCTGGGCCAAAGAGCTCCAGGAAATTCCCAATGAACTCTCTTGATTTCTCTTCCCACTTCTGGATCAGATCATGGCTCTTCTCCTCCACTCGGTACACAAAGTGCTTTGACTTTTCCTCTACGGTCCGCACTTTTTCCTTCATTCTGTCCACCTGATTCTGCAGACGATACTTCTTCTCCTGCCCAGAATGAGTTCAGTGAGCATTCTTATGTGTTATATGATATTTAAATCACATTTCACTTAAAGGAACACTCCACTTAAAAAACAAGCCATACTTTATAAATATCCTAGTGTTAGTGATGGTGAAATGAAGCTTTCTGATCCAGGGAAACATTCGACTCGGAATAAGGTTTGCATATAGAAAAAAAGTTTGTTACTTAAAGCTTTCCAAATCAGAGCTCGATGAGGACATCTGCTGGTTAAAGTGTGGGAAAGCACTGTGTTGTAAAAATGTCAACGTTCACAACTGACTACCTCATTCATGTAGTAATACAACAATAGTAATATTAACAAATTACTCAATTACTGTAGTTGTTTACATATAAAGTATGTTACATTACACCACCAATGACTAGTAAAAAGTATTCAAAAGTATTTACATTTATAGTATTCTATTCTAACGGGTCGTACAACCACCCACTCGTTCGAACAAGGGATTCCTGCATGGGAGGTGAATTTTCTAAAGAGGAGGCTATGAAAGTGAGACTTTGGGCAGCATTCGCCAATGCAGGGCTTCAGGTACACACTATAACACAATATGCAGTGACCTTCTTTAAAAATAGTTGATACTAATAATACACTTTAGTATGGTTCAAAAGCTTTTTACTATAAGTTGCTATTGTATTTTAGTTGAATTACTTGTGTGTGGGTGCTTTGAAACAGTAAAAACTTTTAATCGATTAAAACATTTTAATCAATCCCTATTCTCTCAGTATACACTTTACTAACCCACTAGTATGCTTAAACTTTTAAATCAAAGTTTGAGGGTTATAGGCTTCAATGCGAGATGTATCTTTTTTTGATAAATGCTTCAAAGCCTCTGTGCACATTACATCACTATCTAGAGTTAAACAGTTGACTTGAAGCATTTCTTAATCCAATTCTTAAACTTTAAGAGACTAAGCTTTTTTAAAGCCTTTTTCAAAAAAAAAAAAAAATGGTGGAGTGTTCCTTTAAGGACTATCAGGAGTGCCCGAACTTGGTCCTGGAGGGCCGGTGTCCTGCAAAGTTTAGTTCCAACCCCAATCAGACACACCTGGGTTAGCTAATCAAGGTCTTTCTAGACCAGGAGTCACCAACCCTGTTCCTGGAGAGCTACCTTCCTGCAGAATTCAGTCCTAGCCCTGATCAAACACACCTGAACCAATTAATAGTACCTAAAGCAGCACTTGATAATTACAAACAGGTGTGTTTGGTCAGGGTTGCAACTAAAATCTGGAGGAAGGTAGCTCTCCAGGAACGGGGTTGGTGATCCCTGTTCTAGGCTTTCTAGAAACATCCCTGCAGGTGTGTCAGGGTCTCTGTAGATATCATAATGTCAAATTTAAGACCTTTTAAGACCTTTTTAAGACCATTAAGTATTAAATTTAAGACCTATATCAAAATCACGCGAGAGAAAATGTAAAAGCACAAAATTAGGGGTAAAATAAAGTTATTTAAATTGAACAGTACTAAAGTCAGGATAAATGCACCATTGAACTACAGAAAAAACAAACATCTTAATGCAGATTTATACTTTCACCTGGCACTGCATCGCACAACTCACGAAACGGATTAAGGCTTTTACACTTGACACGTTCACCCTTGAGATTATTTTTTTTAATGACAGGGGGCGGTCCAAAAAAACAGAAAGTAAAATCAGACGAATAAAAAGATAATCATTATTATTGAAGATGTTTTTGGGGGCCTGCTTTTTGTTTTAACAAACTTATCCCTCAGAGTTTTTCCAAAGTTTTACAAAAACTTTCCTCCTTTCCCATGGCTGTTGCAATTTCTAGCCAATAATTATTGGTCAGTCTGGCAAGTAGAAATGTAACTGTGATAGAAAATAGGTAAAAACTTGATTAGGTAATATAGCCTACTGTACTATTCACTCTTCAAATAAATCCCACTATCAATCCCATTTTATCACTAAAATAAAGTAAACTAGTGTCTGCTGTACAGTGTTTTGTAAAGTAAAGTGCTTCAATTACTCTGTTGTGGTAATACTATAGTTGCTATGGTAACACAACAAGTGTATTAAAAACAAACTACCGCAAATTACAATTGGACTAGTGAAATAAAGAACTACAACACCCCAAAAACCTAGCAACAACAACAAAAAGAATTTAAATCAGCATTAGATGTAGCATTACAAGGACATTGCAAAAATAAGACCTGTGCAAAAATATTTAAGACCTAAAACATCAAATTTAAGACTTTTTAAAGCCATAAATTTTGATTTTTAAACTTAAGACTTTTTAATACTTCTTAAGACCCCGCGGGGACCCTGTGTGTTGAGGTAAATTGGAGTTAAAATCTACAGGAGACTGACCCTCCAGGACCGAGTTTGGACACCCCTGGACTACATCTGCAACATTATTAAAATATTAATGAAAATAACTTTCCCTCCCTCAACATCTCTTCTCTGATTGGTGTTTTCTGGTGCGAGGTGGGACAATCCATCACTCGCAAGAGATTGACCAAGAGCAAACCACAACCATCCAATCAATTCCAATAGGGAAAACCAAATCCTGCCCTACAGTTTTTGTTCATCAAGAATCCATGTCAGTTATTGCAATTTGCTGCAACTTCTATTTTATGCCAACTCGAAACACATCGAGTGCAGTTACTTACATTAATGTAACTGACGTTCAGTTCTTTAGCGGTGTAGCCCCTCTGCAGGTTGCGTCTAGCATAGACGTCATAGTCTCTCACTATCCGGGTGATCAGGTCAGACGTAGAGATCCCTTCTGTCCTTTTAGTGGGCACAAACATACCTGAGACACTCACACATGTTAGATCTGGCCTGAAACCAACATTCCCATGCTCTTAAGACCGCTTCTGTTTACCTGCCTCCTTAATATGCTTGTACACATCCTCAGATCCAGCGGAGGAGTATGGGATGTCATCGTGTGCCACAAAGTCAATCTAGGGAAAACCAATTGGAGGGTTAACCATAGGGAATTATGGGTAGAGTACTGTACTAGTACTTTACATGATAACTAACCTTGTGTTTTTCTAAAAAGTCTTGTGTCAGAGTCCAAGGAGCATCGCGCAAAACCTCGTCGACGTATCGGCAGTGTCTTAATGCCTCATAGCGCTCGTCTTCTGTCATGACGGTGAAGCCCTTGTACTTGTGTGTAAGTTCATCGCTGCATACTTAACATATATGTACATATGTCATATCAGTTGAGGACCACACGATTCATGGTATTGTGTATAGTATGTTGAAATGTGTCTGTACCTCCAACTATAAGGTAGGTGTTGGGGAACAGATTCTTAGCCTGCATGAGGGCACGAGCGTGACCGGAATGAAAGAGATCGAAGATGCCATCTGCGTAGACTCGCACCGGTCGGTCCACTGAGAACAGAGAATTATGAGATGCTTAGTCATTTGGAGATGTTAAGTTGCTTTAATGTGCATAAAAAGTTGTGTTGTATAATATTCCAAGGTTTGAGTTCGGTAAAGGTGAGAAGAAAAAACTTCCAAATGTTTAATATAAAGTTGCAACTCTAGACCCAAATTATGCTTTATTTTATTTTTGACAAATCTGATTTGATTCATTTATTAATTCATTTTCCTTCGGCTTAGTCCCTTTATTCATCAGGTAGCCACTGCGGAATGAACCACCAACTTGTCTAGCATTTGTTTTACACAGCAGATGGCCTTCCAGCTGCAACCCAGTACTGGGAAACACCCATAAACTTGTGCATTCACACACACACACACACACACACACACACACACACACAAAGGCCAATTTAGTTTATTCAATTGACCTGTACCGCATGTCTTTAAATTGTGAGCGAAACCAGAGCACCCGGAGGACACCCACGCGAACACGAGGAGAACATGCAAACTCCACACAGAAATGCCAACTGACCCAGCTGAGGCTTGAACCAGCGACCTTCTTGCTGTGAGGCAACAGTGCTAACCACCCCTGAGCCACCATGCTGCCCTCAAATCTGATTTCATTTATACATTCATTTTCTTTTCGGCTTAGTCTCTTTATTCATCAGGGGTCGCCACAGCGGAATGAACCGCCAACCTATCCAGCATATGTTTTACGCAGCGGATGCCCTTCCAGCTGCAACCCATACACACTCTTTTACAAACACTCATACAGTACGGCCAATTTAGCTTATTCAATTCATTTACACAAGCTTGTATTTGTACTGTGGGGAAAGCCGGAGCACCTGCAGGAAACCCACGTGAACACGGGGAGAACATGCAAACTTCACACAGAAATGCCAACTGACCCAGCCAGGGCTCAAACCAGCGACCTTCTTGTTGTGAGGCGATCATGCTACCCACTGAGCCATTGTGACGGCCCCAAATCATCAAAACCTATTTTTTATTTTATTTTATTTTATTTTTTTACAAATTTGAGTTTATATCTTGCTATTCTTACTGTTTTGTCTCTAAAAGGAAAGAAAAAAAGTCAAAATGATAACTTACAACTTGCCTTAAGGTTACACAACAAAACACATAACAGTTTTCACAAAAACACAATAATCAGCACAACTTTGAATAATAAATGTTTTTTTCAGCTTTGCTAATCAAATTAATATTTTTAATAT